TCCTGACTTCTGGCCCTTCCAAGGAGATGAGGGTCCCCAAGGGACCAAATCCTGGCATCAGGTGCACAAGGCCTTTCTGCATCACAGACCCCAACCGCAAAGAGCAGGGGAATCTGTTGATCTCAGTCCCAGCCCACCCCACCCTGACCTTACGCTAACCAACCACCCTAGCTCAACCCAACTTGCCCAGGCCCTCCGAATCCAGCTAGCCCAGGGGAAGAAATTCCTGCATCAGGGCACAACTGTTCTTCCCTGATGAGATCAGGAACTCATAGAGGGGAAACCACAGCAGCTCCCACACTAGTGGTAAAGGGAAGGGCTCTGCAGATGGTGGTCCCGGGAGTGATAGGAAGATGTGGGACAGACAGCAAAGGAGAGTGAGTCCCTCCCCTAGCTCTATACCCTCCCCACCGCCGCCACGCAGGGCTGACCACCGCAGAGGATGACAATGAGTTCTTCCTGGAATTCCTGCAAACGCTGCTGGTGGGAACCACAGAAGAGCTCTATGAAGGGCCCCTGGGCAAGTACAATGTCAATGATATGGCCAAGGAAGCCCTGGGAGAGCTCAAGTCCTGCATTGACGGCCTACAGCCTGTGCATAAGGAACAACTGGTCAAGCTGCTGGTAACTGGGCCGGGACTCCCATCCCCAAATGCCCGCAGTTCTCCTGAGACCCACCCATGCCTGGTACCTGATTGCCAGTCTATGCCCATCCACCCCCCAGACCTACATCAGCAAACTGATGGGGACCTCACAGAGAAGCCTCCGGAGTCCCGGAGTCCTGCTTCCCCCAAGGACTATGTCCCACATAGGCTGTGCATCTGCTCACAGCTCTCCAGAGTGCTAGGAGGGGTAGACCACAGTGTGCAGAGCCTGTCTCCTCCACTGGGGCGCACAGGCCTGTCTGCCTCGGGGACTGGTGGCTCTGGTTGTTGGTTACCTGCTGTCCTGGTCCCCACACACTTCTCTTTCAGGTGCAAGTGCTAGACGACCAAGGGGACACATAAGCAAGCCTGAGACACGGTTTGGCTTCTATGAACGACAGCCAGCCCCACAAGCAGCCGTGGACGAGCCAAGACCACTGCTTCCTCATGAATCAATTCACCCTCGAACTGTTAAATCAATAAAGCCCCCTGCAGCTCGGGCACTGGCTTCTCTCTCTCTCCCTGCAACACAGGAACACACAAATGTCCTATCAAGGACACTCTGAGGGATACACCAAAGATACAGACTCCTGTGTGGGGTCACTTCCCAGAAGCAATGTGTGGGAGCAGCCTCAGGGCAGCATGTGAAACACGGGAGGAATGGGGCCTACAGTTGGGAGGAAGGCAGGACTGGGTCAGGCTGAGGACTCTCTGGGGCTGGTGATTCTTCACAGGGACTATGCTAAACAAATCAGGCAATAGCACAGCCAGCTGCACAGAGGCCCTGGCAGCTCTGGAAACAATCTCTCTCCCTAAAATTCGCCCCAGGAAAGAGAACCCGAGCTGAGCCAGAACTCTAAGAGGAACCTACTGAGGTCAAGAAGGGAAGCCCCCAGGGCTCGCAAGAGCACCCAAGGGTCCTGAAACGTGGACTTTGCCAGCAGGACAGCTGGAAGGGCAGCAGGGTCTGAGGAGGTGTAGGAGAGAGCAGCCTCTCTAGGGAAGCCCACCATAGTCTTCAACACAACCCCGCACTCCCAGACCCCCAACAGCCAGAGTCTACCTGTCTCCCAGTTTCCCCAAACCAGCAGATTCTTGTGGGCCAACGCTAAGGGACAACCTTTAAAGAGTTAAAGAACCTGGAGAATAAGGGGGTTCCTGAAGAGGTGGGAGTGTCTCTGGAAGGGGGAGTTATCTAGAGAGGGTGGGGGATTATTTGGAGAGACAGGAGTCCTTAAAGAGGTGGGAGTTCCTGATAGGCATGTGGTCCCTGGAGATATAGGTATCCCCAAGAGGGGAGGTCCCTAGAGAGGGCGGTGGTTCCCTAAAAATAGGGTCTCTGGAAAGGGTAAGCTCTGATGCAATGCCTCAGGCGCTGGCCATTGTCTCCATCACACACACAGTGATCTAGAACTCCTTTGTGGGACAGAGCCGCATTCTAGAGCTCAGGGAGAGAGACCCCTCCCCAGTTCTCAGAAGTGGGGGAGAGAGGGAAGCTTTCTCTCCATGCTCCTTTTTAGGGAACTGCCTGGCACAGACGCCAGGGGGCTAGGCCACCTGTGAGGCGGCTGGTCCCCAAGCTGCTCTAAGCCCATTCCTGCACAGAGGAGGTGAGGCCTCCCGATTGCTCCCCTCTTGCCCATGACACAGCTCAGCCAAGAAGCTCTCGGCCCTTGCCAGTCATCTCTTTGCAAAGTTGAACCCAGGGTTCTCTCCCTGGTTTTGCTCCCCCAAAGCAGGGCCAGAGTGGGCAGCCCCTCTGGGCCTATCCTGAAGGCATGACCCCTATCCATATCTTGGAGCTGGGTTAAGGGTTAGCTTACCACACCAATGGGGAGCTCCTTCTGCTTGGAGCTGCTTAAAGACGCTCATGTCTCCATGAGGCAAGGACTGGGCTTGCAAGATGCAGCATCAGCAGAACCAGAAATGGGGACATAAGGGCCAGGAATGAGGTGGGACAGGGCATCCCAGCACCTGGTCACCCTCTTGTCCATGGACAGAGCCAACCATGGCAGAGGAGGTATGGGTGGGCAGTTGGAGGCCCCATCGCCCCCGGGGGCCCATCATGGCCCTCTACAGCAGTCCTGGACCCAAGTACCTGATTCCACCCACCACGGGTAAGATTGCCTAAGGGCTTGGGGCTTGGTGGGGACAGGGGAAGAAGCCAGAAATGGTGTGGCCTGGGATGGGTCTGGGCTCAATCCTTGACTCCCGGGGGAGAGAAGGATGTGTGGCTCCAGCAGCCCTGAGCCCCTGTGCCCACAGGCTTTGTGAAGCACACACCTACCAAACTCCGAGCACCAGCCTACAGCTTCCGTGGGGCCCCCATGCTCTTGGCGGAGAATTGCTCCCCAGGGCCCCGCTATAGTGTGAACCCCAAGATACTGAGGACTGGCAAGGACCTTGGCCCCGCCTACTCCATCCTGGGGCGCTACCGTACCAAGACCATGCTGACCCCTGGCCCGGGTGAGTGACCCCTGTCTCCTGCTCCAGGCCCTAATATGGTGAAGGCCAGATAGCCTCATTCCTTCTGCTCCTGGGGACACCGTCAGGCCTGCACAGCAGAGCCTGAAACCCACCGGTCCTACTCTACCCGGAATCCAGGGACACAGCCCACACCAGTGCTTGAAAACAGCACCGACGCCAGTTTTTCTGCTGCGGACTTCCCTGACCAAATCTGTTCAACCACAATGCTGGGACCCAGGGGCCCTGTGTCTTAACTGTTGGGACATCCTTCATGGGCACCCAAGTGTTGGGGGTGGGGTGGAGAGCCCCCAAATGCTTGTTGTTCCTGCACACCCTCCCTCCTCTCCAGGTGATTACTTTCCAGAAAAATCTACCAAGCATGTGTTCGACTCAGCACCCAGCCATTCCATTTCTGCCCGGACCAAGACCTTCCGAGTAGACAGCACCCCAGGTCTGCCACATCCCAGCCAACGGAGAGGATGGGAGCTGGGGTCCCAGCATGGGGTGGAGGAAAGGGAGCCCCACATAGGACTTCCAAAGGTAGAGGGTATTCCAGATAGGAGGTAACGGGTCTGTCACAGCCTGAGGCTCCCTCATCACCCACAGGCCCTGCTGCATACATGTTGCCTGTGGTGATGGGGCCGCACACGGTGGGCAAGGTCTCCCAGCCCTCCTTCTCCATCAAGGGCCGCAGCAAGTTGGGCAGCTTCAGCGACGACCTGCACAAGGCAAGGGTCACCCCAACTGATTATCAAGCTTGGCCCCAGTGACCTGTCTGATCCTCTCCCCCGAGACCCAAGAATCCCCAGACAACTACTGCCCTATTGGAGCTCTTGCATCCCCTCCACCTCTGGGGGCCTGTTACATGCTCGGGCTACATTCAGTGGTGGGAAGAGGCCAGGAGACCAACTTAGGTGATGGGATGATACTGAGAACAAGCTAAAGTGTGTGTGGTGTACTGCCTGGAGGGTAAATACTGATTTTAGACAGAGGACGTGGAAGTAAGGAAGAAGGGGGAGGAGGCCTTGAGCTCCTTAGGGGAGGAAATGTCTACCTGTTTTAAGAGCCGGTGCAAAGGCCCTGAAGCAGACACACAACATTCAGTAGCACTACAGGAGTTGACTTTACTAGTCCCTGACCTCTGCCCTCAAGACCAAGAGGATCCTGTCCCAACAGGAAAAAGGGCCTTTACACATACCCTCAGAGCAGTGGATACAAGATTGGCACACTGGGAATGCCACTGCCACAGTGAGGCTGAGACTGATGGGAACACCCCACCCCATGGCGGTGTTCCCATGGCTGGCAGACAGCCTGAGAGTGCCTTTGGTGAATCAAGGTTCCACACCTAACCCTATCCTCTGGGGCCACATGCCCCGGGAAAGCCAAGTCTGTCTGAGTCCTCTCTTCTTCCAGACTCCAGGTCCTGCAGCATACCGTCAGACTGATGTCCAAGTGACCAAGTTCAAGGCTCCACAGTACACCATGGCTGCCCGGGTGGAGCCGCCAGGGGATAAGACCCTGAAGCCAGGACCAGGAGCCCACAGCCCTGAGAAGGTCCAGGAACCGCAGGGGTCAGATAGGGGTCGGGAAATGAGCCAGAGTGTGTAGGAAGGGCCTGCACCCTGCAAAGATGAGTTGGGGACCATGAACCCTTAGGATTTTGTGCACTTCCAGCTGTGGCCCTAATGGTCACCTTTCAGCTATAGGAAACCTGGGTTCTAATCTTATCCCCAGATGCCAGTCCACTGTCCCCAGTGACAGTTAACGTTGCTGAGCATGGCATGGCCTTCACACTGGCAACCTTGGCCCCAAGTTCAGGAGGGAATGAGCCCCAAGCCGAGAATGCTCCTCACAGTCTTCCCCCTTCTTCTCTTAGGTGTACTTGAACAAGCCTTGTGCCCCCGTTGTCACCTTTGGCATCAAGCATTCTGACTACATGACCCCTCTGGTTGTTGATGCGGAATAGCGCCCCCTTTCCTTCCCATCAGCCCTTGACCATGATCCTCCTTCAGAAATGTGCTGGACTGACAATGGATTGGGCACTTCACCAACGGACCCACTGCCAGCCTGGCCCTGCACCACAGGGCACGCTAGTTTGGACGGTTTTGACAAGTTATTTTTCTCTATACTATCTCGTTTGTTAATCTTGTTTCCTGTCATGTCCAAATTATTTAATAAACCACAGATTGCATTTGTAAGGGTTTATCTTGGAGAAAAGGCAACGCTTGTCCAGGGGGCCCTGTCTTGGCTTCCTAGCCTGGACTTCTGGAGGTCCTACAGAGAAAGTAGAAGGGCTTGGGGCTCAGAGTTCCACCCGACATCTCAACTGCCCTTTGCAGGTTCTCCTCTTTACACTCAGGCTCTCTCTGAGAGCCAGGGATCCAGATCATGTCAGCAGTGGCCTGCAGGCTTTCAAAGTGACACACTTCCAGCCCACCTCCCAGGAAAGCCTGGGCATGGCAGAACACATGGTCATTTTCACTGTGCTGCCTCAAATTCTGACCACAGGAACAATGTAAGAAGACATGATTTCCCCGGGCAGTGGTGGCGCACGCCTTTAATTCCAGCACTCGGGAGGCAGAGACAGGCGGATCTCTGTGAGTTCGAGACCAGCCTGGTCTCCAAGAGCTAGTTCCAGGACAGGAACCAAAAAGCTATAGAGAAATCCTGTCTCGAAAAATAAAAAAAAAAAAAAAGAAGACATGATCTCTTTACTGCTATTACGTACAAATCTTAGGGGAGCTTATTTCTCACCCGCGGCCAGTAGGAGGATGTGTACAAGAGCTGGCATCTCAGCTGGGCCTGAGGACAATGACTACAGAGGCTCTCCTGGGTCCAAGGCCCAGCTTCCGAAAGCAGGGATGCAGTACCACCTCAACTTTGGGGCAGGTCCATGCAATACAAATGGCCTTATCCAACACATCACTGGGGACCCTACCTGCACAAGCCTGTGCGTCCCAGCCAACTTGCCCTTACTCCCTTAGGTGGTAATGCTATCACCACCTTACTCTCAAACTGGCAGAGAGGGGCCACACAGAAGGAAGTTGGTGGGTCTGTGGCTGTCCTGCCCAAGCGAGAGAAGGCATCCCTGGAAGACTGGAGAGTAGACTTGAGTGCCCAAGGCCAGCCACAGATGAGGGTTGGCTCAAATAATTCAAATTCCTGGGAAGTGAGCACAAGGAAGACACTGACTCCAAGATTTTACTAGCGAGGGGCCTTCAACTGTAGGAAGAACCTCGTAGCTCATGTTCACAGTCCCTCACACTGGGCACCAAAAGCTTCTGATGACTTGCTGGTGTTGAGGACCCACCCACACCTTAGGGGAAGCACCAGGGGTACAGGCCTGAGTTGGAGGATATGGTTCCAGGCCTTCAGGAAGTTGGTCTGACCCAGGGGCTGTGGTGTTGGTATCCCCCTTCCCGTGATTAATGCCAGAAGGAACAACAGCTAAAGGTCACGAGGGCTACAAGCCTGATGCCCAGTGGAGCTGGAGAGCTACAAATGGCCATGGTGACTGGTGGAGCAGGATGGAGACCTGGGGAGAAAACTAGCCACGCTGGGTGGGGTACGTATCTCACAGAGGATGGCAAGACGCTGCGCCAGAGGACACTAGCCCCAAATGCGGAGACTCAGACTCAGTTTGCGCCAGCAGGATGAGCAGGTGCTGGCTGTCCCAAGTGTCACAGGAAGCTAGGTGTGAATGCGCATGCCCGTAATGCCATCGTTCAGGAGGCTGAGGCCAGGGGATCATGGGTTGGAGACCAGCCTAGGCTACACAGTTTAAGAGCAGCCTGGGATGCAGAGCAAGCCACTCTCCCACAACAACTAAACAACGAAGGCCCTGGGGTTTAACGGTTTCCCAGCATTCTGAGTAGAAGGCAGCAGTCCATGGCTCCAGGGAGACAAAGCAGAAGCATGAACATGCCTGCTCTGAGTCCAGATGGAAGGATGCAGCCAGCTGTTAACATGCTTGCTGACAAGCGAAGGGCAGAGCACAGCCCTGGCCCGCGGGATGCTGGGAGACAAGGACGGGGTGCCTGCCGTGGGAGGCCTAGGAATGAGGCACAAGCTGGAAGTGTGTGGGGCAAACAGCAAAGCTGCAGAGCAGCAGTGTGGAGCAGGCTGTACCTGGCGGGAGGGAGGGGGAGGAGCCAAAACAAAGGGTGGGCCAGGCTAGGCCCTTCTCCAGGTTTAGGGCTCAGGCACACACAATGGGAGGGTCAAACAAGCCTAACGTTAATGTGTGCAGAGAGAGGCTGCTCGGTAAAGGAAGAAGGGGCGGTGCCTAGTGCATCCTCAGCACACCAACAGCAAGGCATTGCTACAGGCAAGAAGCCAAGCTGCGACAGAACATGGACAGAGGTAGTGGTACGGCCACGTGGGTGGGCAGTGAGTGGGCCAGGGAGAGAGAGACAGAGAGATGAAGACACAGACGTGAGTAAGGTCAGAGAAGGGCACAGAACTTCATGGTTCATTTCTTAAAGGCATTTTATGTGAAGACAGAAAGTGCTGGGCTCTCATAAACCATTGGCCCTGCCAGCTCCACAGGTCAGGCTGTGTGCAAATGGGACTGACCAAGGAGGAAGGGAGGACTGGGAGAGCAGGGAGGTGCAAGTCTGTGGAGTTAGGCAACAAGGAGGTGGCTCAAGCTTCCCCCTACACCAAGGGAGACAGGCTGAACAGGGTAGGGCACAGGTTCGGTACAAGGTCAGAGGTTCCTGCTACAAATTCTCCCATAGGTGGCCTTCAGCTTCATAAGGATGCCGGCAGAAAGGCCATTCAGCACTGCCGGACTTAGAAAGTCCACACTATGCTATTTCTCAGTCTGTTTGCCTGGGGATGGTGACATCTTTGGCACTGAGAAGATTCTCAATCCCAAGGACACACATCTCTGCTCCTAGACAGACGGTCTTATGGCCCAGAAGGTCCACGGCCAATAACAAGGGCCGTAGTTCACTCCTCTAACCACACCTTTGCCTCTTCCCTGGGGTCTGCCTTCAGCTGACGGCTCATGGGGATGGCTTCAACTCTTGGCCTGCACAGGTCTGTTCCGGATCAGCAGCCTCAGCCTGGAGTTTCTGCCATATTCATCCTGACGAACATTCATCTGAAGAGGGCTCACGGACATATCCCCTTTCGATGTCAGCTCCAGACGCTTCAAGAACACAGACACGGTCTTAACCAGGCATAGACAGAAGACCCTTAGATATTGGCTTCTGAGGCTGTTGATCACAGTGGGCACATTCAGGACTCATAGATGCTTTGTTCAGACCTGGCTCATTCTTAGACAGTGTGGCTTTGGCTCTAACAGTGACTCCAGCACCAGGGAGAAGGGTTGGGTTTTGCCTTTTTTCTTCCTCCTTCATACACAGAACAAGCCAGCATGAGCTCATTATGACAGAGGCAGCTGCAGTCGTCCCGTCTTAGGAAGATGAATGACCCATGATGATACTTTCAAGGGAATCTATTTCGTAGTCAGGTTTTCAGGACACCAGGACACCAGGGTAGGAGAGCCTGGCTGCCCTTGGCTTCCATTGGTTCACGTCCTTGTCCTTGACAAGAGGTAGGAGAGGATGAAGAAGGCCACGATTAAGACCACAGCCATACCGCAGAGAAGCTTCCGGTTGTCTCGCCCAGACCTTGCCATTGTGGAAAAGCGCTTCACACTCCCCGTGAGCAGGCCAGTCACACTCGTGAAATCTGAGTCCTGCAGGAGGGACCCAACAGGATCACATGGAGGTGGGACCCTTGACTACCCAACCACACCAGCATTGAAGGGAAGAGCAGACAGCATGGGGGCATAGCTGACTGCCACTGTATGAACTGCAGGTGCTTACCATGCCGTCTAGGTATCGGTTCTGGTCTTCGGTGTCCCTGTCGATGTCCAAGGCCAGCTGGTTGGAATATAGAGAGGGCACAGTCAGATCCTTCAGACCAGTTAGACTTGACTCACAACCCTGCTAGGAACCTATCACCAGAAAAGGCTACAAAGGTCAAGGTATTACCTGAGGCATCACTCACGTCAGCGTATCCACAGACAACACATGGCTGCCTTCCTACCCTCTTAGCCCCACTCACCAAGGTACCATACAGAAAGGAAAGGACCATCACTGACCGATTTGAGCCTGGTAACCTTGGAAGCCAGGCTGTCGGCCATCCGCTTGTTCTCTCGGTCTAGAATCTCCTCCACAGCACCAGAACTCTGAGCTGCAAAAAGAGAGACTCAAGGGTAGTATTTACTCATGAGTGTGGCCCCTGACTCCTTACTGCAGTGGAGTATGGCCTCGTGAGACCTCTAAAGAGATTCAGCCCATGTCTGCTAACTTAGCAGGTTCCACCCTGAGTTCTAACAGGTGGACCATCTATCCGTCAGGCATGTAGCATGGGTCATGTGAACATATGTCCTGTGTGCATGTCCAAGCAAGGACAGGCAGAGGACCCAGAAGGCTCATTCTACACTACCCTGCTGAAAACTGTTTCTGAACATGAATGAGCATTGCCTTAGCTGAATCACTATCTGTGGGTGTGGGACTGGTCGCAAAGGAAAAGAGTAAACTCTGGTACGGGAAAGAACACCAAAACAGGTCACAGGAAGGCTGTGTGGAGATGACCCGCGGATCAGGTTCAGGAAAAGTGTAAGAAAGGTCTCTCACTGGAGAAGCTACAGAGCTCATTTCTGCAACCCATACAGGACCTTTCCAGAGCGCTGTGCCTGTGGAAACCTGACTCCAATGGACGGGAGCTAGACATGAAGAATGCCGATCACGGTGTGTGAAAATCACCTCCCAACTGCTACTGGCACCGGTCTGAAGCATAAAAATCAGCCTCAACGTAACCTACCTATGGGAAAGGCTAGCAGCACCAGCAAACACATGCGACCAGACTTTAATAGAAAGGATTTCTGTGTCCTGTCAATCACTGCATAGTCATTACTGTGGCCCAGGCATCACACCTGGCATACAGAACACAGGCACTGAGAAGTGAAGGGAGGCACTCAGTCCCCTCATCAGTAAAACCCTATTTGGACCCTCCGTTCCCAGCCCCTAGTACCAATCACACACAAAACCGATGTCATGCCCAGGCTTGGGTCCCAAAGCAGCGCCAGCCGCAGTCTAGACCTGTTTTCCCCGGAATACGTAAGCGCCACCCCAAGCAGGTCCCTCCACCGAGAGTTGAGCGATGCCTCCGGCTCCGGACCTCGCCTCCTATCCCTACTACCCTCGGATGCGCTCACCGCGAGTCCAATCAGCCATCGTGCCCTCCAGGGTCCCACTCCGGGACTCGGTAACACAGCGACGGACGTGGCACCAACACTTGAAGGGGCTTCCGGTTCCGCCTCGGGTTTAATAACTTCCGGGAGAAGGGACTGGCGCGGAAGACACAGAAACGAAGTGGAATGTAAATAAGGGAAGGGCAGGTCACCAGCCTGCGGATTGGCCAGCAGTATTAGTCCCGAGATGGGGGTGTTACCCGGAGCCTGAACTCGGGCACAGACCTGGAGCTGAGGCTCCGAACCGGCTCAGTAAAGTTGTCTGCTGTCTGGGATGCCGCGAAGCCTGGGTGTGAGATTCTGGATGGGGAGAGCAGCCAGGACCGAAGGAGATGGGCGAAGGGGACGCCAGGGCCTGACACCGAGTAGGTGTGGGGCAAGCGCCGTCAGCTCAGCGGGTGACAGGTCATCCACTGGAGCTTGGTTGTGTGTGTGTGTCACCGTGGGGTACACTTTCACCGACTCTGCCTTCAGCTACGCGGCGTGCGGACCCGGCTCCCCACTCACTACCCAGCGGGTGCGCGCGCGATCGCTTCTCCGCCCTGACGAGCCGCGGCAGCCCCTCCGCGGCTCCTCCCACGGGAGTGGCTTTCTCCAGGGTTTTTTCACTTCTCGCTGATCATTCCTCGCACACGCTGCAGCCTTTTTTTTGCCTTGGAAGACCACATGATTTTGATGGTTTAGTCCTTTGTGTCTTTTGAGGCTGGTCTCACTATGTATCCCTGTCCGGCCCAGAACTCACAGATCTGCCTGCTTCTGCCTCTCACGGCGTGCGCCACCTCGCCTCTTCCGTTCGCCCGAGTCGTTGTGCTTGTCCTTCCCTGTTCCCCTAAGAGCATGCACGAGCTTCGCGGGTAGGGACCGCCAGAATCGCCATGCGACCCCAGCCCACTAAGCTGGGGACAGTGCTCCCTTAGCTCTCTCCCCGTTCGGCGATGAGCGTGTAAGAAGGGCAGTCCACGCGCGGGCCGAGCCCCCCCACCTCGCTCCACGCCTGCCAGAAAGTCCAGCCGGAGGGGAGGGAACAAGCCGCCTGCTCGGCCACCGCGGCCAGGTGGGCTCCACCTTCAGCCCGGGACCCGCCCCATGCCCGCACACACCCTTTCGGCTCGGCCGTGCTCCCGGCATCCCTCACGCGTGGACGCTGGACTTCCGGACCTGGGCGGAGCCCCTGGGTTTGGCCGATTGCGTCTTCCCGGCCCAAGCTTTCCAGCACCCGGTGCCAGGGGCCATGGAGCCCCGGGCAGTTGCGGATGCCTTGGAGACGGGAGAGGAAGATGCAATGACAGAAGCTCTGCAGTCGTTCAACCGGGAGGTGAGAGGCACCCGGCAGCCGCCGAGGAAATTTCATGGAGAGAGGAAGCAGCGGTGTGCGCGCAACGGGGTTAGGGTGTGCGCGTGAGCATGGCAGGGAGCACGGCGGTGGGTCGCGGGCTGGGCCTCGGGTGTTTCAGTGGTGGGGCAGGTGTATGGGAGGCGAGGATGGGCCTTGCCTTACGTCCAGAGTGATGGCTGCTGCCTCAAAAGTCGCAGCAGACCGGCTGCTCTGAGTGCAGGTCCTACCTGCTGCGTGTGGACCTAAGAACTGGATCTCCCTACAGCACTCCCAGAGCTTCACCTTCGATGATGCCCAACAAGAGGACAGGAAGGTAGGTGTTGGCCCAAGGGATTCCGAGGGCGGGCATGAGCTACCCCAAGAAGAGGGCCTGATGGAACCACTTCTGCCCCTCCCCACAGAGACTCGCAAAGCTGCTGGTCTCCGTCCTGGAGCAGGGCTTGTCACCATCACACCGTGTCACCTGGCTGCAGACTATTCGAATCCTGTCCCGAGACCGCAGCTGCCTGGACTCATTTGCCAGCCGCCAGAGCCTACACGCTCTAGCCTGCTATGCTGACATCACCATCTCAGAGGAGCCCATCCCACAGCCCCCAGACATGGATGTCCTCCTCGAGGCTCTCAAATGCCTGTGCAATCTCGTGCTCAGCAGTCCGACAGCACAGATGCTGGCCGCAGAGGCTCGCCTGGTGGTGAGGCTAGCCGAGCGCGTGGGACTCTACCGCAAAAGGAGCTATCCCCACGAAGTCCAGTTCTTCGACTTGAGGCTCCTCTTCCTGCTAACAGCCCTTCGCACTGATGTGCGCCAGCAACTGTTTCAGGAGCTGGATGGTGTGCGCCTGCTGACGGATGCGCTGGAACTGACCCTGGGGGTGGCCCCCACAGAAAAGCCCCCGGTGGCACTTCCGGCCCAGGAGACAGAGCGGGCCATGGAGATCCTCAAAGTGCTCTTTAACATCACCTTTGATTCTGTCAAGAGGGAGGTGGATGAGGTAAGCTGTAGCCTAAAGTCATGGTGGGACTCTGCTCAGCTGGGACATTTTGTGCGTTTGCTTCCTTCGTGCCTCAAGTTCCAGGGTGTCAGGTATGGCAAGGACAATAGGATCGTCTAGGCAGGGAATTCAAGGAAGGTTTCTGAGCAGTGTTGTGCGCCGACTGGGGACGTGTTCTCCACAAGGCTTCAGGTAGCCAGAGTCACCGAGTGTGCTGTAGACAGAGCCTAGTGATCAGCTCTAGGTGACCCTGGAGCACAGGAACAGGGACCCCTTCTTACAAGAGCCTCTTTCTGCCTTTGGTTAGGAAGACGCTGCTCTTTACCGGTACCTGGGGACCCTTCTGCGGCACTGTGTGATGGTCGCTGCTGCTGGAGACCGCACGGAGGAGTTCCATGGGTGAGGGGCAGGCCTTACTGTGTCCCGGTGGGGGGATGCTTAGGCATGGGTTCAGCAGTCCTCAACCCTAGCTGTGAATCAGAAGCACCAGGTCACCCCGTAGAGTATGACTTTGTCAGGGGATTGGGACACCAGTGTGTTTCCAGAGAGCCCCAGGAACTCTGAGCTACGGTGGAGGCCACGGTAGCCATGGCATTATAAGGCAATGTGATCTCCTGCTCCTGCTGGTGGTGACCAGTAAGTACCTCAGCTGACCTTGGTTTCCAGAGATTGCCTGGTATCTCAGTTCAGACAGTTTGGGACAGGCTGAGGTGTCTACCGTCTCCCCACCAAACTTGCGTGGGGTACCACCTACCCTCGCCTCTAGTCCTCAGTACTGTCCTTCAGTCCCCTATATCCTGTGTGCCCCAGGAGAGGAGCCAGGGGTTACATCTGTGCTAAAGAGTTACTCTGTCCCCAGCCACACGGTGAACCTCCTGGGGAACTTGCCCCTCAAATGTCTGGATGTCCTTCTTGCCCTGGAGCTACATGAGGGCTCCTTAGAGTTCATGGGAGTCAACATGGAAGTGATCAGTGCCCTTCTTGCCTTCCTTGAGAAGCGTCTGCACCAGGTAGGTGGAGGACCTGCTGTGTGGACACCCACATGCTTTGGCCCCAGTTGTGGCTACTGTTTCTGCACCACTGGTACTGGCAAGTGGAGGTCGGCTTGATGGTCTAACGTGGACCATTCCTCTGTGCTGTGTGGCCCCACCAGATGGGAGCTGCTCAGTCAGACCCTCTCAGAAGCTTGTGGATACAGCATGTTATCAAAGAAAAGCGAGTTTCTCAGGGTCTACCAAGGTGAATGTTGTCTTTAAGGTCTATGTGGTTCTCAGGAGCCTTTGGTTCCTGCTTGTGACCCCCAGGCTCCGAATGCTCCCATACATGGGCAGCCATAGATGACAGCATCAGTTGTCCTACTGGATGTTTTTGTTTTTGTTTTTATTTTGGTTTTTCAAGACAGGTACAGGTTTCTTTGTGTAGTAGCCCTGGCTGTCCTGGAACTCACTCTGTAGGTTAGGCTGACCTCGAACTCAGAGATCAGCCTGTCTCTGCCTCCCAAATGCTGGGATTAGAGTGACACCCCACCCCACCCCTTGCCCCCAGCTGTCCCTCTGTATCCTAAGAAGACATAACCAAAGGTTTCCTGACTCCTACCGCTACCCCTTGGGATATTTAGAGAACTAGCAATCTAGCCTGTCCTTGTGGCGCTCACACAGAGGAAAGCCATAGAGAGGTTCATTAGATCTCTGAGGAGCCAGAGAGCACTTAGTACCTATGAGCTGGTGAGGCCAAAGGAGCTGGTGCTGAACATGCTAGCTGTGACTGCCTGCCCCATTGCTGTGACTGCCTGCCCCATTGCTGGAACTCCCGGCCCCTATTGCTGGAACTGCTGGATTTGGGCTCCAGGGAGATAATGGAAAGGCAGGGAAGGAATGGGCACACTGCCTGCTGTCCATGAGGCACTTCACTTAAGGACTCTATTGTTTGTTTTTGCTGTTTCTTGAGGGCAGTGTGTACCTGAGGTGTGCAGACAGGTGTTCAGATGCTTGTTTTGTTCATAGCCCTAGTTTATAGTTGTAGCACTTAGTGAGTTGTTTGACCCAAGTCACAGCTTTTCAGTCATTTCCAGAAGTCAGTCCTATTTCCATTCCTTTTCCATTTTAAGGGTTTCGTACACCCTATGTAGCCAAGGATGACCTTAAACATCTCATCTTCCTGCCTCCCAAGTTCTGGGATTGCAGGCTTGTGCCACCATGACTGGTTTAGTGTTTCCATACTTTCTTAAGCTAATAAATACGCACCACTACCTTTGGCCCTTAGCTAACTTGCTGCAGCATGGTCTCTTGAGAGTTTACTGCCAGACCATTTGTTGAAGGTGCAGTGTGCCCCCATCTTACATGGGGGCATGTCATAGTGACAGAAGCCCTTCTGCAGACCCACAGGCTAAAGGAGTGTGTGGCACCCGTGCTGAGCGTGTTGACGGAATGTGCCCGCATGCATCGTCCTGCCAGGAAGTTCCTGAAGGCCCAGGTACTTGGAAAAGGAGATGGAGCTGGGGAACATGGGTTGGATCCTCTTGATAGGTCCCTGGCGGCTCCAAGCCAACACTCAGAAGAGCTGCCTCCCTAGGTCCTGCCCCCTCTGAGGGATGTGAAGACGCGGCCTGAGGTGGGGGATCTACTTCGAAACAAGCTTGTCCGTCTCATGACTCACCTGGATACAGATGTGAAGAGGGTAGCTGCTGAGTTCCTCTTTGTCTTATGCTCGGAGAGTGGTGAGTTGGGGGAGCCCACGCCCCAGGCCTTCCCTGCCTCAGCCATATTCACACATTGACCTCTGCCCTGGTCTTCAGTGCCCCGATTCATCAAGTACACAGGCTACGGGAATGCTGCTGGTCTCCTGGCTGCCAGGGGCCTCATGGCTGGGGGCCGACCCGAGGGCCAGTACTCGGAGGATGAGGACACAGACACAGAGGAGTACCTGGAAGCCAAGGCCAGGTGTGTGCCCCTAATATACACTTGGGTTCTTCCATAGCCCCATTCCCTTATCCTTGCCCCCAACCAGAACCAGTAGAACACAGGACAAGCTGAGGAATAGGTAAGACCTAAACTCAGGCACTTGTGTTCATACTGAACGTACTAAGGCCCAACAGGTGGGCTCTCTGGGAACCAGAAGGTCCTGGGCAAGAGCTGTCTGCTGGTGTTCGGGGGGTGGCAGGTGGGGGAATCTCCCTTCTGAAGTCTCACCACCACCAAAAACAAGCAGGTGGGTTCTGGCTAACCCAGCCCTAAGCCTGAGGATGGAGAGCTCCTGCCCCACATAGCCCCACTTTCCCTATAGCGACACTAACCCATTTCCCACGCACCATTCCTGGGGAGCAGCATCAACCCCGTGACTGGAAGAGTGGAAGAGAAGCCACCCAATCCTATGGAAGGCATGACAGAGGAGCAGAAGGAACATGAGGCCATGAAGCTAGTGAACATGTTCGACAAGCTCTCCAGGTTTGTGTTGTGAGAAAGACTTGTAGCTAGGAGACATGGGAACGATTCTGTTTTCTGAGCCCAGGGAGACTGGCTTAGCAGAGATTAGGATCCTAGTGAGGCTGTATTAGACTTTGAGATAACTTGCCCTGGAGGTAACCCTCCAGAAAAGAGGGTACAGTTAGCATTAAGTCCTGTTTATAGATGATGAAAATGAGGACAGAAATGCAAAGGACTGCCTGACATCTCAAGGCGAATTAGGTGGCAGTTAGGATCTGAGCCCGATTAAGTTAGTTAGCCCCCTGCCCTGCACACTAGGTCTCTTCCCCAGCCACACTGTGCTTTCCTGCAGGCACAGAGTCATCCAACCCATGGGGATGAGTCCCCGGGGTCACCTCACTTCTCTGCAAGATGCGATGTGTGAGACTATGGAGGGGCAGCTGTCCTCAGATCCCGACTCAGACCCTGACTGAAGATGGCGGCGGTTTTGCTCCCCTTCAGACCTGGTGCTGCTTCCAGACGTGTGCTTGGGGTGCTGCCTAGAGAAGCCACACTCCTCTCCAGCAGGGGAGCCTTTCTCTTTACTCCCCACACTATCCATGATTTGCCTTTGGTCCAGTTTCTTGTGTTTAGGACTGTGGTAGTCGTACTCTCTGTGAAGACTGGGAAGCCACCCTTAATTTCCACAAGTGGAGTTGTTTCTTTGACGTTTGCCAAGCATATGCCGTGGCTGCAGACATGGGCAGAGCTGCCTTGGCACATAAATGAACATGCATGTATGAGGGTGGTGACTTAGGAGGTGTACATTGTGTACAGAGCCCATGTGTGGAGCATATGCTGTGTTTCACACATGGAAGAGTCTACTGTTTAAGTGTGCCAGGAAACACACAGAGCATCACAGTTTCTATTTGTGGCCCCACTGAGCACAGGACCAGTGGCCTTTTCTAGGTTCTTGGTCCTGGTCCAACCACCGCTGCATTGTTCACATACCTGAGCCTCACTGGCTGAAAGCTCAGTCAGTCACAAGCACTGGTTTAGTGGTTGTTGAAGGCAAGGGTTGTAAGACAAGGTAAAATCTGAGATTTCTGAGGCACAGACTACATAGAGTCTGGGACAAGACTGGATATCTGTGAAGTGGCCAGGTGAAAGGATATTAAACAGAAACTAATTCCATTTTCTTAGAATTTAAGATTTCCTAGATCCTTGCACATCTGCTGTTGTTGGAGAACAAAGATAGGAGGCCCCATTCCCTGGAATCTGCTGTTGGACTGCCCGTCAGCCCTGGTCAGAATGGGTGCAGTAACAGGAGGTACTTCTGCCTGGAGAACATCCTGCACTATATCCTCTGGGGAGGAGCCAAGGAGGAAGCAGCTGTGCTTAATCATAGCTGCACACAGGACAGGAAAACTAAGAGACGCATGGGATCTCCCAGAGTAATGCCTGCCACTGGATATAGCACTGTTGCTGGAGAAGCCTCGGTGGATAGCGGAAAGTGGCTTAGCAAAGGCTGGGCAGATGGGACTCCTGAGGGACCGTAGGAAAGGAGCCTGAGTTAATACCAGGGTGAGTCAGTTCAGTCTTGTCACCCAAGAGGAGGACACCCACATTACCTGAAATACGTTAACGCTTACTGTCCTGAAGATACAAATGAAAGGATGCCAAGTTTTATACTAAAATTTATTTCATGCGAGAAATGATTTTTTGTTGTTAAAGATGCCTCTGTAGAGATGGGAATGCTAGATTACCCTAGTATATCCCTGGGCTGGCGATGGATGGACATGCTGTGCTGCCCACTGCCAGAAAGGCGCACTCTGCATTGCAGGCTTCAGCAGTGGTGGGACACATGGAGCTCCTCTGCAGTGTGATGGCATGGCCCCAGAGTGAGCATCCTGGGCAGTCTTTCCGAAGGCAGCCTCAGAAGACCGTTACCCAGGTCACACGCGGTTTAGCCCAGATGTGTAAACCTGTCCGAGCTGTTTTCAGGCACGTCTCCCTGGAGAGGATCTGCTGTGTGACTTTCCCGCAGGTGACAATAATTTTATCTGTCCTGTCCATCCAGCTGGAACAGACAGGAGGTCAGTTAACTTCACACACATACAGGCTGCATTCCAGACCTGGAGCAGTCACTGAAGTCAAGCAAAATACTTTAAAGTGAACAAGAAAAGGGATCCCAGAAGGCCTAGCACAACATGTGGCTAACGAAAGACTGTTTTCCAAGAAATGGCACCAGCGTACATTCAGCCCTAAGAGCCAAATTTTGAAACAAAAAGATAAAAATAATACTGGCGGTTATATTTCATCTGTGGCAACAGTAAATGCCAAGGCTCATCCTTGCTTTTCTTTGGTCCATTTCATTAAGAGCTCAGACTCAACACGAGAGTCTAGGAGCTTTTGCCAGTGACGGTGAGGAGACTGCTGGCCATGGCCCAGAGCCACAAGACAGATAAAAGACAGTAAATGCCAAGGCTGGAATTTTCTTAAGATTCTATCTTAGCAAAAACAGAACATCAGTTATGATCTATTATGGTGGAATCCTGTGGACCCTGCTGCCCCTGTCTATAATCATAGAGTTGGGGCTTGAATGCTAGCGAACCACTATAGAAAATAAACACATATAACATAATTCTCATAGGAAATCATTTTCTGAGCACAGATACTGTAAAGTCTCAAGAGCATCATGTTGTCTGGCTTCCTATTCCCAGTGGCTGTAATGAATAATGACGCTGATTAATAAATCATGCCTGGTTAGCTCTGTCCCGTGCAGGGTGCTGAGAATGTCAGCTTCTCAGCCCTTTCCCTCCCCTAGGTCACAGAAAGATGTCCCAGTGAATTGTGGGGTAGGAAGCAAGTATGTAGGGGCACCATCCTCCTAATGCCCGCAGTGCACTGAAGTCAGTGCCCAGAAGAGGATGCGCACTCTTGGACTGGGCCCAGAGCGTTTACCTTCCCAGTCTCCCTCTGGATGAGATCCTGCAGCTCTTGTGTCCAGCCCAGGAGGTCCACCAGCCTTTCCACACTCTCAACCACGTCACCCAGCTGGGCCACATCCTTGCTGCGAGGACTCCAAGCAAAGGGACCCACCAAGTCTCGATTGATGAGCAGTCGGGGCACCGACTTCTGTACTGCTTCAGACAAGCTAGCAAAAGGCTCCACCTGAAAGACAGGGTGTGAAGGGCAGGGTGTCCATGTACCAACAGGACACTGAGCTTCACAGCCGCTGGTACCTTGGGGTAGGAGACAAGGCAGACACTTTGTTTCTAAAGGTTCCCGCCCCTGGTCGGGTGACTTCTTCCCATCTACAGCCCTCCTCTCTTCTGCTCCTGTGCCAGCACAAACCCCGACTTCTCCCCCACACGCTATCCTTCCTCCCAGTCTGCATGTTCTGCCTCCGTCATCTTCCTTCTCCCACCCGCTCTGTCCACTCGGCCTGGGCCCTGCTCTGAGCCTCTCCTATACTCGCCTGGCATAGAAGAGCAAGCGCCCCTTTCCATACTGCTACTGTCCCACCTCCTGGGTCCCCTTCACTTCCCTAAAGGGCAATGCTGCCATCATATGTCTGCACCAAGACTAAGAGCGTAGGAAATGTGTAGATTGACGGGTGTGCCTGGCTCTTACTTGATAGGAAAAAGGTCAATTTTCACCTTTTACTAAAGAAGTTTCAAATATATCATGGACTTAAATGTAAACAAAACAGTTGTTGAGCAGGTGTAGTAGTGGTGCCCCTGTAATCCCAGCAGTCAGGTGGGGACAAGGGTCAGCTGTTTAAGGTCATCCTCAGCTACACAGCAAGTTTAAGGTCACCTGGGCTACTTAAGACCCTCACCTTGATGTGGGTCTCTGTCTCTATCTCCATTCGTCATAGGACGAAGGTTCTGTGGTGGTATTCAAGATAGTCATCAGTCAGACTACAGGACAAGGCCAGTTCAGGCACCCTCTCCTTCACTGCCCAAGGTCCTAGCTGGGGACATCCCCATGGGCTTCTGGGAACCCCTCTAGAGCCAAGCCTCTTGCTAACCCCAAAATGGCTCCCTTAAGATATCTCTTCCCTACTCCCATATCCGTCCTTCCTCCATCTCAACCATCCCACTCCCCCAAGCTCTCCCCAACTCTCTCCTCCCTTTAAATGATATGCCTAATAAACAGAAAAGGGTAATAAAGACCCCCAGAGATAGAAAAAAAGACCCTCACCTCAAAATAAGGGACTACAAAGATAGCTCAGCAGTTAAGAGCATTCATATGGCAGTTCACAGCTGTCTGTAACTCCAGTTCCAGGGCACACTGTACATGGGTACCAGGCACCCAGGGTGTACATACATACAAGTGAACACTCATAAACAAAATTTAAAAAATTAAATTAGCAAGACAGGCCAGAAAGTCTCAATAACAATTCTTGAAGAAAAAAATAAGTGAAGGCCTTAATAGCTCAATGGGTAAGGAGCTTACCACCAAACCTGACAACCTGAGTTTGATCCCCAGGACCCACATGGTGGAAGGAGAGAAATGACTCCCACAAATTGTCCTCTGGCATGCACATAAACAAATATTAAAAAATGGTTCTAAAAATAGGGTTGATAGGTAAGGGTATAGGGAAAGATGTTTTAGACATTCTAACAGGTGAGACGAAAGTGACCGTTAGCACTGCCACATCTAAGTTCTCACACCACGTGGGGAACTAACCCAGGTTTTGTACATGCTAGGCAAGTAACACACTAAGCCCCATCAGCATCCCTCAAACCTATTTTTAACTTCACACTGGCAGGAAAGTAAAACATGTCCTTTGGTATTGGTGAAAATGTGGGGAAATGGACCCTCATACACTATCAGCAGCAGTCCCTGCATGGGTGTAAACAAACACGGACAGCCACCACAGGCAGACAATACAAAAATACTGTTTGTCTCTGCTGTCCATCAACAAATAACTGCCTACAGAATTTTTCTCATAGGTCCACAATTCCTTGTCCTACAACCCTTATGACTGGAAATGCTTCAGAATTCTGGATGTTTTAGATTTTTAAAAAGATCATATGGTTTTATATGCCATAAGACACAGTGGAGATCCTGGGTACTCCACAATCTAGCATGTTACTATTGTTTCCATAGCCATGGGATCCAGGACACTGCAGATCTGTCAACCCTCTCCTCCTGGCTGGGCCTCATACTCACAGGCACACCACAAGCAGGACACCAGCAAGGCTGTTCCAGACGGGTGTGCACACCATCCATATAACAGTGTTCAGCCTCTGGCCAACTGTCCCCAAGAAAAGAACTCAAGAGAACAGGCCAGAATATTAATAGGTACTGGGCTTAGAGCTAATTCTCGGGGCTGGAAAGGTGGCTCAGAGGCTAAGAGCTCTGGCTGCTCTCCCAGAGGACTGGGGTTTAAATCCCAGCACCCGCATGGCGGCTCACAACTAGCTCTAACTCCAGTTCCTGGGAATCATGCCCTCTTCTTGTCTCAACAGGCACCAGAAATACATGCAGTTAAAACACCCAAATACATAGAATAAAAAAATAAAGTTTAAAAGAAGTAAAGATTCCTCATTTTAACTATGTTGTTATAAACGAGTCTTTTTAAAAGAAGCATATGGTTGGCCTGGCAGTGGTGGCACACACCTTTAATCCCAGCACTTGGGGGCCGAGGCAGGTGAATCTCTTGAATTCAAGGCCAGCCTTGTCCACATAGTGAGTTCCAAGACAACTAGAGCTATGTAGAGAGACCCTGTCTCAAAGAAAAATGCAATATGGTACTTTGACAACCAGGGGGGAAAGGCTATTTTCATTTTTCTTGAGGAATAAGGATGTAGTCTTAGTGTCCTTATCTGATAGCTGCTATAACCAGCAGGGCCCATACACTCCTAAGTACCACAGACCGGAGGACCTACCCACTAACTCGTAATTGTCCCCCTACCCCACCCAAGCCTATCCTCTATTCCAAGCCTGTATCTGACAGCTCTCTGGAATCTTCCGCTTGCTCACCTTTCGCCCAGTGCCTCCCATGTCCTCCTTTGTTACCTCAAGTACATGTAAGGTATTTGTCTGCGCTGCTCTCCTCAGTCCCACCCAGCAGGAACAGGAACATCCTAGGTCTGTGGCAGCTCAGCTCGCCCGTGTCCCACAGGCCACAGTGCTCTCCGCCTTTATAGCTACAGCTCTGGGTCCCTGCTGGCTTACCTATTTCCTGCCAGCACCATCCAACCCCACCAGCAAGGGCCAATTCACAGCACGGCCCACAGGAGTCTTTTAAGCAGAGTCAGGGCACCAGACTTCCCAATGGTCATCCCCGTGACCCTGGCCTCATTGCTGGACACTATGGGGTGCCCTGCCAAAACTTAACTGGACACCCTTACCTCTTTATTTAGATTCACGGACAAGGCTCACATCAAGCAGCCGCCACGTTTGCAATGTAAGCCCTCCCCAGCCCCCACCACAATGTTCATTTATAGTTTCCCTCTGTGCACACCACCCCTAATGGTGCCTTAGTTTTAAATCTGACTTTAGCGGTCTAAAGCATCAGGACTGGCCTGGCTCACATCACACAGTAGCAGGGACAGGCTGGGTTCACACAGCCCTAAGCCTTTGCACATCTGGTCTCCTGAACAGAGCGCTTTTTGGCTCCTCTGCCCCTATGACTACATACAGCTGGGCCCTTGCCCATTGTCTTACCTCTTTATGCCTTTTGGGAATTTCCTAGCATTCAGACTCAGAGGCAGATCACTCCTTGTCCACCTCCAGTGGTCATCTCCCAGGAGCCTCATACCCACATGCAGATCCTAACTGGTCCTCCGACTGCATCCTACCAGCTAAACTGATGCTACTGCAGTCAACCTTTTCCCACCAAAGGTCAAGACTTCCATCTGTTCTTCATCCCAAAGGACAGCTCTGGATCTCGATCAGTCCCTTCCATCCTGCCTCATAGCTAACCTTTTCTGGCCTACACAGCCATTGCTCCCAAACCCTGGGATGTCACTTCCATTGACTCTGCTTACCTGAAAAGGCAGCACCATGAACCAGGCCTACCCACTTCCAAGCCCTCCTCCCTCCCACCCATCCCCACATGCCTTTCAACAAACCTCCAGGGAGGTCCCAAGAATGAGCAGCAGATCTGCCATGGGGAAATCGGCCACATGTAGTAAGAACCTTGCAGGCAGCGACTCTCCAAAGAACACGATGTCAGGTTTCACAACGCCAGTACAGACAGAGCAGTGAGGCACCCTGTCTGCCATCACATCGGTCTGGGGAATCAGGGCAAGAACCAAGGAAGGTGACTTTAAAAAGAGGAAAAGACAAGAGCTTCTCAAGGAAATTTTAAACATGTCCAAAATCTGAACTGAGTAATGGACCCCATGTGGCTTTAGCAATTTTTATCAACTGTTTCTTACAACCCTCAAAAAATGGGGGGGTGGTATGTGTGAAATATTCAAATCAAATACTAGACCCTAGACATTGCCCAATTTTACCCTCAAATTCTCTTGTAGGCTCCACCTGGGATGAACCACAGTCCTCAGACAGGTTTGTGGGCATCCCTCATACAGTGAGAAAGGCAGCATAAGCCGGGCCTGTTTAAGCCCAAGTGACCAGGCACTGCTTCCACCCTAGAAGGCCTGCGGGCCAGCGTCAGCTCACTGCTGGCATAGTAAAGCGTGATCAGAGCTGCCAAAGGCTGCCTCGGTGCAGAATAACAGCCACACCCAGACCACGTCTCACGCCAAACAGAAGACGAGGCAGTGCCACTTTCTGGCAAAGCGCACAGCAACATCCTTGTAAAATAAATCTTTACAGCTAGAAACGACTGCAAAACTATGTCAGAGATTATCAGCTACAGACAATAAAACTATATGGTATTTAAATTAATGAGGAAAATGTGTAGCTTGAAATATCTATTAAAAATATAACAACTTTAAATGCCACGGATTAAAAAAAGAATAACCAAGCAGAACTTCTAGAAGTAAAAAGCAAAAGTAAAATTCAATGAAAGGACTTTATTCTCTGTAACAGAACAATGTGTTGATGAGTTTGAAACAGATCAAAAGAAATCTCCCAGAATGCAACACAAGCAGTAACAATGGCAGACACTGCCAAGTGCCCATGACTGTCGGAGAGAAGGTGAGAGACGCATCTACTCAGAGTAGTGCACAGAGTGGGAGGAACAGGCCGGATGGTGAACGTCTGAAGAGAGAATGGCTGGGGATTACCCTGCAATGATAAATGCATTTCAAGCAGAATAAAGAAAAGGGGTCTATACGGAAACACAGCACCGTGAAATTGCAAGTTCTTGAGGGAAACGTCTGAAAACTAGGCAGAAAACATGATTAGCAAATGAATTCAGAATAGCTGCTACAACATGAAGGAGAAAAGCGAAGTCAAAGACCTCCCAGATGTAAGACTCTAAAGCCACGCTATCAAGACTGCTGAACTGGTGAGAGAATAAAGAGGTCAGAAAGAGAAGAGAGGGAGCTCTAAACTGATACAAGCCTCACCAACTGGTCTGACTAAAAAACAGAGCCAATTTAGTAGAAAAAGAAAAAGGACATTTTCCTTTTTTTTTATTTTTATTTATTTATTATACAGTGTCCTGCAGGCCAGATGAGGGCACCAGATCTCATTACAGATGGTTGTGAGCCACCATGTGGTTGCTGGGAATTGAACTCAGGACCTCTGGAAGAGCAGTTGGTGCTCTTAACTGCTGAGCCATCTCTCCAGCCCCATTTTCCTTTTTTAAAAAATTATTTATTTTTATTTTATGTGCATCGAAACCTCTGGAGCTGGAATTACACAGAGAGTGTTGAGCTGCCATGCGGGTGCTGAGAATTGAACCCAGGTCCTCTGGAAGAGCAGCCTGTGTTCTTAACTGCTGAGCCATCTCTCCTGTCCCCCAAAAGGGCCTTTACAAAACATGTGCTGGAACACACATTCACATGCAACAGGATGAACCTAGACAGACTTATATGCTTCACAAAAATTAAAGTGGATCAGAGACCTACACATAAAGAGAAAAACTAGAAAATGACATAGGAGGAAACCTAGATGATCTCTAGTATGGAAATGAATTTTTAGATTCAACACCAAAGCAACCTCATGAAAGAAATAAGGGATGGTGTAATACCAACATTAAGAGCTCCTAGTCTGAGAAAGACACTGTAGAAAGAATGAGAGAAAAGCCATAGACTGGGGGAAATATTAACAGAAGATAATGAACTAGTAACTAAAATATATAAAGAATTCTTTCACTACATTATTAATTATTTTTGGGCCAGGGTACCCGTGTGCCAGTTGGCAGGTGAGACTCAGGACAACCTGTAGGAAATGGTTCTCTCCCTCAGCATGTGAGTCCCAAGGATCGAACTCAAATTGTCAGGTTTGGCAGCAAACACCTTCACCTTGGTGGTACTTCGAATAAGCAATGACCCCCATAGGACATCTGAACACCTGGTTGCTAGCTGGTAGTGCTCTTTGGGGTCATTTAGGAGGTGCAGGCTGGCTGGAGGAAGTATGTCAGTGTGCATAGGCTCTGAGAGCCGTATCCTCACCCTACTTCCACTTTGCTCTCTCTGCTTCCTGCTTGAGTTTGAAGATGTGAGTTCTGAGCTTCCTATTCTTGCAGCCATGTCTGCTGCTTGCTGCCATGTGTCCCCACCATGATGGACTCTTATCCCTCTGAAACCATAAGCAAAAACAAATTCTTTTTTGAAATTGCCTTGCCTTGGTCACAGTGTTTTGTTACAACAAAAGAAAAGTAAATAATAATACACCTGCCGAGCCATCCTGCTAGCTCTGTAATAATAATATATATAATAATACACCTGCCGAGCCATCCTGCTAGCTCTGTAATAATAATATATATAATAATACACTTGCCGAGTATCCTGCTCTATAATAATAATAATAATAATAATAATAATAATATATAATAATAATACACCTGCTGAGCCATCCTGCTAGCTCTGTAATAATAATAATATATATAATAATACACCTGCCGAGCATCCTGCTAGCTCTATAATAATAATAATATATATAATAATACACCTGCTGAGCCATCCTGCTAGCTCTATAATAATAATAATATATAATAATACACCTGCCGAGCCATCCTGCTAGCTCTATAATAATAATAATATATAATAATACACCTGCTGAGCCATCCTGCTAGCTCTATAATAATAATAATAATATATAATAATACACCTGCCAAGCCGTCCTGCTAGCTCTATAATAATAATATATATAATAATACACCTGCTGAGCCATCCTGCTAGCTCTATAGTAAACTCTTTGTTTTGGTTTGGTTTTTTGTTTTTCAAGACAGGGTTTCTCTGTGTGATAGTCCTGGCTATCCTGGAATTCACTCTGTAGACCAGGCTGTACAATGAACTCTTTAAGCTCAGTGTTGTGGGACATTTGTACACTGTGTGAAGATTTACTGCTGTGATTGGTATAATAAAAAGCTGAACGGCCAATAACTGGGACTTTCAGGCAGAGAGAGAAAGGAGGAGGAAGAATCTAGGCTCCTGAGAGAGCTTCAAGGAAGTAGGGAGGAAGCAGGATAGGTGGTACATGACAGTGCAGAATAGAAATGGATTGGTTTAAGTTACAAGAGATAGGTGAAAACAAGGCTAAGCTAACAAGTCATAATAAGTCTCTGTGTCATTAATTTGCAAGCTGGTGGCCCAAAGAAAAATCCAAGTACAGCTTAACAATAAAAATCAATTTGGGGGGCTAGGGAGATGGCTCAGTGGTTAAGAACACTGCTGCTCTTCCAGAAGACCTGGGTTTCATTTCCAGCACCCACATGGCAGCTCACAACTGTCTGTACCTCGAGTTTTAGGGGATCCAACATCCTCACACAGACACACATGCAGGCATAAACCAATGCACATAATTAAAAAAAAAAAGGAATCAGCCAGGAGGTGGAGGCCCACACCTTTAATCCCAGCACTCAGCAGGCAGAGACAGGCAAATCTCTGTGAGTTTGAGGTCAGCATGGTCTACAGAGCAAGTTCCAGAACAGGTTCTAAAGCTACAGAGAAACCTTGTCTCGAAAAAACAAAACAAAACAAAACAAAGAATCAATTTTGAAAATAGCAAAATACAGAGTAGTGGTGGTGCCTTTAATCTAAGCACTCAGGAGGCAGAAGCAGGCAGGTCTCTGAGTTCAAGGCCAGCCTGGTCTAAAGAAGCAAGTTTCAGGACAGCCAGGGCTACAAAGAGAAATCCCTTCTCAAAGAAACAAACAAACAAAAAAAAAAACAAAATATACACACAAAAAGAAAATAGCAAAATACATGGACACCTCCCAAAGAAGAACAGCTGACAAATGACCACTTGAGAAGCTGTTCACTATTAAAGACCTCCAAGGAAATGCAAGTCAAAGCAATGAGATATCAATCACTGCACACCTAAACAGATGTCTAACACAGATCCTGAACACAGATAACAAAAGATACTGATCACGGAGCAGTAGGAGTTCTTGACTGCTGATTGGAATGCACAATAGCAGAGCCACTTGGACAGCTGGGTGGTGTGTGTGTCTGTGTGATGTTGGTAAGAGATAGAGACTGTAAGAGATAGAGACTCTGTGTGATGTTGGGAACCGAACCCAGGGCCACACATGAGCTAGTCAAGCTCTCTAAATTACACCCGCTACATACACCACTAAGTTATATGTAGCCTTAGTTTTGTGCTTCTTACAAAACACACTGCTACAATGATCCAAAAATTGTTTCTTGCTGGGCAGTGTGGCACATGCCTTTAATCTTAGCACTTGGAAGCAAGGCAGGTGGATTTCAGTGAGTCTGAGGCCAGCCTGATCTACAAAGTGAGTTCTAGGACAGTCAGAACTCTTACACAAAGAAACCCTGTCTTGAAAAAGAAAAAAAAAAGATTAAAAGAAAAACAAAAAAAAGTTTCTTGATATTTTCCCAAAGAACCTGAAAATGTCTGTCCACACAAAAGCTGTATAAAGTGATTTATATGCTTGAAATGAAACATTCATATTGCTAGCAGAACGGATAAACCATGGTATATCTAGACAAATTGCACATTACTCAGAACAAATAAGAAGTCAGCTGCCAGGCCAGGAAAATACATGGAAGGAACAAATACACCCTGGTAAGTGAAAGAAGCCAGTACGAAAGGCTGCACGCTATGTGATCCCAACATTATGACACTCTAGAAAAGAGAATGGTAAGAAATGAGATCAGAATTGCTAGAGGTTGGGGTAGAAGAAGGATAAGCAGAACACAGAGGAACTTGAGGAGACAGTACTGTGCATGATACCACACTAATGGATACTTGTCTCTACACGTTTATCCAAACCCATAGAATATACCACACTAAGGTTACGGTGGATCCTGGGAAGAATGTCGTCAGTGTGGGCTCATCAGCTGCAAAGTGACTGACTTTGGTGTAATGTTGACAGTGATGGAAGCTGTGTGTGCAATAGAATACAGATATACGGTAACTATCTGTACTTTCTACTTAATTTTGCTAAAGCACTAAAAAATAAAGTTGATTTAAAAACTTAACTCCAAAGGCTATGTGTTGAGGACTCAATCCACAGCCCAAGGGACTACTGAGAGAAGGTAGCGCCTGTAGATGGTAGGTCTATCTAGAGTCTCAGGTCATATGTGAATAGACCAGTATTCGGCCCAAGACACCCCAAGACCAAGTTCTCAGCACAAAAAGGATATTTATTTGTCCAAAAGGACAAAGGGCAGGAGGGAATAAGAGACAAAGACAAGAGATAGAGAATGAAGGAGAAAAGGAAGGGAACAAGGTAGGGGGACAGGGATATTTGTCCAGAGGGACAAAGGACTGTCTCTGGGACGGCTTGCACTCACTGGCAAATGCAGACCTCATGAACTATTCCAAACCACGGTTTCCTCATGAGACGGTTCTACCCTGCACACCAGTCACAATCCCAAATAAGCCCCTGAGAGTAAGCCGTGAACACAGTCTCATCACGGCACATTCTCGAGTTCCTGAATTGTCTCTGAGTCCACAATACTAATAAACTCCAATAAAGGTAATTCCTTGTGACAAACTAGATTGACTTTTATCTCATCTGACAAGTTGGAACCATATATGTATAATATATATTATATACAAAACTTATTATATATTACACACAAAAATTAATTCAAAAAGGATCAAATTCATAAATGTAAGAGCTAAAACATTTAACCCCTTACGAAAAAACACAAAAAAGCTATGATAAATGCCAAAAGCATAGCCAACCAAATGAAGAACACCCTGACAGCACCAAAGCTGCAAAGTTCTGTGCAGAGCAGACAATGTCAGCAGAGGAAAATAGTGCAGGAGACAACGGGCAGGGATGTAACTGGTGCAGCCTCTGTGAAAAAGTTCCATGAAACCGCAAAAAAAATTAAGAGTTAGGTTTCCCATAGGATACAATTTCATACCTAGGAATACAATGGGAAGAACTGAAATCAGGACCTCAGAGAGATATCTGCACACCCACATTCACTCTCAATAATTAAAGGGTAGCAACAAACCAAGTCTACACCAGCAAAGGAACGCAAGTGTAAAGCACGGCCGGCTGTAGAGTGGGACATTAGCAAACTTAGGAAAGGACGGAAAGTCAGACACACACCACAGGATGGCGAAATCTGAAGACATCACACTCTGAAACTAGCCAGTCACAAAAGGCCAGTGCATAGGTGACAATAGAAGAAACAGTACCACAGGCTCGGGGGAAGCTGGTGTTTAATAGCTATGGAGTTTCTGATTGGTATGATAAAGATTGTTCTGGAAATAAATGGTAGTGCTGGCTGCAGAACATTAAGAATATACTTAATACCTTGGAACTACATTTAAAAATTATGAAAATGGGGACTGAAGCGATGGCTCAGTGGTTAAGCACACTTGTTGTTCTTGCAAAAGATCCAGGTTCAGGTTCCAGAACCCGCATGGCAGCTCACAACTGTCTGTAACTCCAGTCTCAGGGCATCCAATGCCTTCTGACTTCTACCGGCTCCCGCACCCATGTGGTGCACATATATGCACTAGGGCACACATATACATATATGAAATAAATATTTTAAAAATGGTATGAATAATGACTTTTGTGCTATATGTTTACTACAAGGAAGCATCTAAGATCCTTATGAGGGTTTTTTAGAGAGTTTTAGGCTGGAGAGATGGCTCAGAGGTTAAGAACATTGCCTGCTCTTCCAAAGGTCCTGAGTTCAATTCCCAGCAACCACATGGTGGCTCACAACCATCTGTAATGGAGTCTAGTGCCCTCTTCTGGCCTGCAGGCATACAGACAGAATATTGTATACATAATAAATAAATATTAAAAAAAAGATTAAGGAAAGAAAGCCCTAACAAAGCAGAGATGAACAAACATAATTTCAGCCGGGCGGTGGTGGCGCACGCCTTTAATCCCAGCACTTGGGAGGCAGAGGCAGGTGGATCTCTGTGAGTTCGAGACCAGCCTGGTCTACAAGAGCTAGTTCCAGGACAGGCTCCAAAACCACAGAGAAACCCTGTCTCGAAAAACAAAAAACAAAAAACAAAAAAAAAAAGAGTTTTACTACGTAGTCTAGGTTAGCCCTGAGCTCACGATCCCCCACCATCTAGCCCTTGAATTCTGCAGTTACAAGTATACACTATAACTCAGCTAGGAAAAATATCTGAAATGTGAGCAAAAAGAAGTATGTACGTGTTAGTTACTACTAAAAGGGCACAAAGAGATTATATAGCTTTGGTCACAGCACTCTTCTCAGAACTATGACCAATGCCTGGCAGAAGCAACTTAAGGGAGGAAATATTATTGTGACTCACAGCTGGAGAGGGAGTTCAGTCCATCATGGTGCCAGGATTAGCTCTGTGGAAGTTTGAAAATGGTCCCATAGATCGAGACTGACACTACTGGAAAGTGTGGCCTTGCTGGAGTACATGTAACATTGTTGGAGGAAGTGTGTCACTGGGAGTGGGTTTTGGGGTCTCAGAAACTCAAGCCAGGCCTAGTGGGTCTCAGTCTCTTCCTGCTGCTTGGAGATCCAGATGTAGAACTCTTGGCTCCTTCTCCAGCACCATGTCTGCCTGCATGCCATCAATATCCCACAATGATGATGATTGACAAAGCCTCTGAACTATAAGCCAGTCCCAATTAAATGTTTTCTAAGAGTTGCCACAGTCATGGTGTCTCTTCCCAGCAATAGACACCCTAACTAAGACAGGCTCCATTTGTGAAGATGGGAATGTATGGCTGCAGCTTTTCATACTATGGCCAACCTGGAAGCTCAAAGCAAAGACTGATGGAGGAAGGTCATTGGCTAATAAAGGAACTGCCTTGGCCCATTTTATTGGTTAGAGGATAGGTGGGAGGAGTAAACAGAACAGAACGCTGGGAGGAAGAGGAAGTGAGCTCAGTCTCCACAGCTCTCCTCTCGGGAGCAGACGCCTGAGAGAGACGCCATGCCCCGCTCCCGGGATGAAGCTCCGACCCAGGATGGACATAGGCTAGAATCTTCCCGGTAAGTGCACCTAGGGGCGCAACACAGATGATTAGAAATGGGCTAAATTAATATGTGAGAATTAGCCTAGAAGAGAATGGGCCAAGCAGTGTTTAAAAGAATACAGTGTCCATGTAATTATTTCGGGGCATAAGCTAGCCGAGCAGGCGGCTGGGGTGTTGGGGATGCAGCCCCGCCGCCGCTCTAATTACTACAAAAGACCAGAACCTGAAGCTGGTATAGCAGCCTTCAAAGGGCCACCCAAGTGGCCTACTTCTGTCAGTCAGGCCTCATATCCCAAAGGCTCTACACCAGCACTAACTGCAGACTGGGTGCTCAGACATACAAATGTTTGCCATGTGTGGGGGAGCATCTGCTTTAAACTATAACAACTTCCAAACTGATGCCCTAGAAGGAATGGAAGAATGGAGCAAGGAGGGGAGAGATGGAGCCAGGGATGAAGGAAAGAAACGATAATCATTTCAAACTCAATTTATCAGGCCTGGTAGCAGACAACTTAAGCTAAGCCACCTTTCTGGCCTAAAGCTTTGCTGTCTGTCTGCCACTTCTACCTACCCACGTTCTTGCTGCTTGTTCTTTCCCTTTTGTTTGCTATATATGCTTAACAAACTCACTGCTTGAAACAGAAAGCACAGTGACTGTAGGTGATTCTCTGGACCTTCCAGGCTAGGACTGCGGATTGACTGTAGGTGATTCTCTGGACCTTCCAGGCTAGGACTGCAGATTGACTGTAGGTGATTCTCTGGACCTTACAGGATAGGACTGCGGATTGACTGTAGGTGATTCTCTGGACCTTACAGGATAGGACTGCAGATTGACTGTAGGTGATTCTCTGGACCTTACAGGATAGGACTGCGGATTGACTGTAGGTGATTCTCTGGACCTTACAGGATAGGACTGCGGATTGACTGTAGGTGATTCTCTGGACCTTACAGGATAGGACTGCGGATGTGGACCCACACCTGTGCACATACCTGTGGAAGACAGAGGTGGATGCCGAGCACCTTCTTCAGTCACTCTCCATATGTGTGCCATGTGTGTTTTGAGACAGGTCTCTCTATCTAGTCCTGGCTATCCTGAAGTTCAATAATGTAGACCAGGCTGGCCTTGAACTCAGAGAGATCCGCCTGCCTCTGCCTCAAGTGCTGGGATTAAAGGCGCGCACCACGGCTTGGCTTCACCTTATGTTTTGAGATAGGGTCTCCCCATTTGCAGCTCACCAGTTAGGCTAGCTGGTTGGCCAATGAGCTCCACAGATATACCTGTCTCTACCCACTCATCCCAGGGTTACAGACATGTAGAATATGAAGCCCAACTTTTACATGGGTGTTGGGAATCTAAACGCAGGCCTTTGGGTTTAGCAGAGCTAAGCCAGCTATCAGCTTGTACTAGGAATCTGAGATTCTAGGTGGGCTGCCACACCTGCCCAGCACTTTATCCACCCAGCCATCTCCCTATACCCTCCCTTTCTTTTATAAGTATGTATTTTTTAAATTAAAAATAAAGGAGCCAAACATGGTTTAGCACATCCTTAATCCCAACAGAAGCAGTTGGATCCTCGTGAGTTCCAGGCCAGCCTGCTCTAAATAGTGAGACCCTGTCTCAAACAAACAAAAGCCAGGCATGGTGACATATACCAGTAATCCCACTCTGGAGAGGCAGAGAAAAGTGGATCCCTAGGGTTCCCTGGCCAGCCAGCCTAGGCAATTTGGTGAGTTTCAGACCACTGATAGTATCCTGCTTCAAAAACAAGCAAATAAACAATCATAAAATACCACTATTACAGATCTTCCACCCCCAAGGACTGCAGAAGGCAGAAACAATTTCACGAGGGGTAACTCACCCAGAAGTCCTCCCCCGGGAAGGACCTTCGACAGACTGTGCACGTAGCTGATGCAAAGGTCCCATGAGCTTCAACCAGCTTTGAGGCAGGAATACCAGACGCTGAAATGCAAACCAAAGCTCAGTGTGCAGCCCGTGATGGCGATGCAAGCACAAAGCCCAACTCCTGGACTTGACAGGACAAAAACAGCTGTGTGGCTGACAGGCGACCAGAAAGTGACCTCTGAGTCAGGTGTGGTGGCCCATGCCTGGATCCTGACTGAGACTAAAGAACTGAGAGTTCTAAGACAGTCTGCGGGAGGAAATACAAGAGGCCAGCATGAGGCCAGCATGGGCAATAGCAGAACCTTCTCAACAACCAAAGATTTCTCATGAAGTTCATTGCTGCTGTCTGGGGGAAAAGGCAGCCTGAGTGGGGCAGCCACTGCTGTCTCTGTGCTTCTGAGCTGTAGATTCTTCCTTAGAAGGATCCTGTCCCTGAAGTAGGGGGCCACCTTTGTTCAGACCACAGCACCCCCTCGTGTCTGAGAAGGTGGCTGTTCACTGACCACTGCCATGGCTGCAGAGTGCACCTTGAGGAAGCACCAGCAAATTCTCCCTCACTGCTGCTGTCACTGGGTGAGGCAGAACCAAAACAGGTCTGACTGAGCAGGACAACACAGAAATGCTGGTGGTTCTTCATATAACGCTACCAGAGCTATGCTTAACAAGGCTGTATCTTCATATAACGCTACCAGAGCTATGCTTAACAAGGCTGTATCTTCATATAACCCTACCAGAGCTATGCTTAACAAGGCTGTATCTTCATATAACGCTACCAGAGCTATGCTTAACAAGGCTGTATCTTCATATAACCCTACCAGAGCTATGCTTAACAAGGCTGTATCTTCATATAACGCTACCAGAGCTATGCTTAACAAAGCTGTATCTTCCAGGGATATCCAGAGATATTTAGACTCTGTTTCTATATGAACATTACAATGCGAAGGTTCTGCCTGAAAACAACCGGAGGGTAAAAGAGGACAGAGAACAAGGCCTGGCCATGTGTCATCAATGGAAACTGAGGGAAAGGACTCATGGGAGAGAGGGAGTCGGAGAGGAAAAGAAAAAGGGAAGAAGAGAGGAGAGCGGGAGGGGGAAAGAGAGATAGATCCACACCAGATTCAAAATAATGTGAACTTTAGTTCCATCCAAAACTCAAACCCCAGAAGGTATGTGGGAGACAGGCCTACCGAGAGGGTTCAGTTGTGGCTCAAACACAGAAGTGGCACAGGCATAGCAGCTGCCTGGTAACGTCCCAGGGATGACATACAGACACTAGCACAGACAGTCCTCCTTAGGAGCAGGCACAGGCATAGCAGCTGCCTGGTAACGTCCCAGGGATGACACATAGACACTAGCACAGACAGTCCTCCTTAGGAGCAGGCACAGGCATGCAAGGAGCAAGCGGCTCACCTCTCTCGAGCCCATCGATGTTCTGTGTGTAGAGCCGCAGAAGCAGCTCCTTGTCATGGAGCAGTCGAAGGAAGTAGTGGGTGACATTAGGCTTATAGTGCCCAGGGTACAGCTCCTTGGCCAGTGTGAAAAACGGTTTGGGATTGTGAAAGAAAAAGTCAAGTTCAAAAATGGCCTCTGGGTATGGGATGTTATACTGCTGCAGGTTGCTGTAGAGGCCACTCCCTGGGGATCTGTGGAGACAGAAGGGGAAGGGTGAGCCCTGCAGAACAGAGTGGGGAATGACATCACAGGGAACTGTGCCATACCTAAAGTCTGGGATGCCACTCGGTGTGCTGATGCCAGCTCCCACCATGACCACGACCCTCCTGCAGGCTCTGGTCCGAAGCAGCTCAGCCACATCCTGCAGAGAGAGCTTCGCCTTCTCACTGCTGCCCCCACATCCGAAGGCGCTGGAGGCTCCCACAGAGAGGGCTATGGGCCTTCTCCCACCTGTAACACTGACGGCAAGAGCACAAAGACAGGCAGCAGGTGGCAATCAGTCTGAGGTCAGCAAAAGCGAGTGCCCTGTGCTCTTTCCACCACCAAAGATGGACACGCACTTCTCTCGAGTGTCATCCAGATAACCACTTTTCAATATGCATAGCTACCATTGATGTCCCCACCAATGTACTCGGTAAATACACAAATTTCTGACTGTCCTATAGTCTATGACTGGAAGCTTATATAACTCATTCTAGATTGAGATTTAACCCGAGTCCATGATTCCAGCATGGCCTCTCATACTGGGCTCAGGATAAACTATGTCTTACTCCCTTTAAAGCAAGAACTCTGCTCTGTGTTGACAGTATAGGCACTCAATGTGAGACACCCTCCCCCACCGCCAGGTATGATCCGGTCTCATCAGGAGTCATCAGGATCAGTGCCAAGTGACAGATTGAGCCTTCTGTGCCCAAATATCTGTCACCTCCTCAGGTAGACATGTGAGAGTCCTCCCTGGAGTCTGGAGTCTGAACCTGCTTTCATTTGACTAATGGTCCACTGATTTATCTGAGCACTCCACTGGGGAGACTCTTACTGTCACAGAGAATCTGTGATAAGGCATTCATCAGAATCTTTGTTTCTGAGCATTCATGCTTTTTCTCCCAGAACTCCTGCCTTTTTAATTTTCATTCTATTTATTTATTATCTCTGTCTCTTGCTTATTGCAACCTGGCTCCTCTCATTCAGCACCGTCTTTTCTCTTCTCCACTACAGTATTCTCCCTCCTTCCTGACTTTACCTTTTTTTTTTTTTGTTTGTTTGTTTGTTTTTTGAGACAGGGTTCCCTTGACTTTCCTGGAACTAGTTCTGGAGACCAGGCTGGCCTGGAACTCAGAGATTTTCCTGCCTCTGCCTCCGAAGCACTGTGATTAAAGACCTGTGCCACCGTGGGCTGGCACCTCTTCTTTCTTTATCACCCTTTCCTGTCTTATCCAGTAACCCCCAAGAGGAACAAAGTCCTGTATCAGACCCAGTGTGGCAGTGCATCCCTTTAGTCCTAGAGCCTGGGAGACAGAGGTGGGCAGATCCCTGTCATTTCTAGGCCAGCCTGGTCTACACAGTGTTTCAGGACAGCCAGGACTATATAGAAAGACTCTGTCTCAGAAAGCAAAAAAACAAAACCAAAAACATTCTGTATCAAAGGAAAGGTTTGTTATAACCTCTGTGGTGTTTTAAATAAGAATAGCCCCCATAGGCTCATACATTTGAATGCTTAGTTACCAGGGTGTGGCACTATTTGAGAAGGATTAGGAGGTGTGGCCTTGTTGGAGGAAGTGTGCCACGTGGGGTGGGCTTTGAATTTTGAAAAGCCCATGCCAAGCCCAATCTCTCTGTCTTGGGTTCAGGATGAAACTCTCAGCTACTTCTGCAACACCATGCCTACCTGCACACTGCCATGCTCCCTACCATGATAATGGACTAAGCCTCTGAAACTGGAAGCCAGCTCCAATTAAATGCTTTCCTGTATAAGAGTTGCCATGGTCACGCTGTCTCTTCACAGGACTAGAACAGTGGCTAAGACAGCCTCTCTTGGGATAAAGCCTATGTGCCAAGGACAACTGTGGAAAAGGGGGCGGGGTGGAGTTCTTAGACTTACACCACAATACAGAGTCCAGAATCTAGATACAGACCCACATATGGTGATTTAATTTGCAATAATCAAGGTATATAGTGCTTTTTTAATAGGAAAAGGTCTTTTGTATTGCTGTTATTTAATATTTAAACGTGGGAATAATCAGATGTTAATGAGAAAAAAATCACATTTGACACCCTTCTTCATCATATACAAATACTGATTTGAAATAAGCTAAGCACATTGGCATATCCTATAATCATGACTACTGAGGCAGGAGGGCCCCTTAATACTAGGAGTTCAAACCCATTCTTGGCAATATGGCAAGAGCCCATCTCAAAAGATAATGTATCATAGTGTAGAATAATAAGATCTCAGCCAGGCGGTAGTGGTGCACACCTTTAATCCCAGCACTTGGGAGGCAGAGGCAGGCGGATCTCTTGAGTTTGAGGCCAACCTGGTCTACAAGAGCTAGCTCCAGGACAGGCACCAAAGCTACACAGAAAAACCCTGTCTCAAAACACAAAACAATAAGATCTCTAAGAAAAATCACAGAGGGATATATCTTTATGACTTTGGGATTGCAAAAAAAATTGCCAACTATTTAATAAAACAGTAAAGTACACTCTCCTCTCTCCCTCAAAAAAAAAAAAAAAGATAAAAGGATAAAAGGATGAAGCCTAGAGGAAGAAAATCTGGGCTGGGATTTTTGGTTATGGGTTTCCTAACCCCTATCAAGACCCTCTGAGAGTTGCTGAAGAATTTCAGATCATCGCTGCCTAATTCAGCTCCTGACAAGGCAGATGGACAGTTTCATTCGGCCAACTGGGGAAAGCCTCCTTTGAAGACTGTAGAAAGACAGCTGCTGATGCTAAGGATGCTTGTTAACAATGAGGAAATCACTCTGGCTGTAGTGTCGAAGATATTCCCACAGGAAGTGCTAGATACCGTGAAGCTTGAAGAACATTTAGAAGCTCAGAGTTTACACTGTTATATAATCGGGTTAAGAATGAGGCTCCATAGATGACCCCAGAAAGAAAAAAAAAACATACCATGAGAGCGGCCAAACCTATACAATAAAGCAAGGCCATGCATCTGGCAAATCAAGGCTCCCCACACAGCTCTCAAAGGGCCTGAGGGTCACTTCAAATGTCAGAAAATAGTAAGAGAAAATGAACTCATTTTTTTCAAAGGAAAACTACACAGAAGGCAATGTACAAGTGATGGGCTCCAATGATGCCTCAAGAGGTTTTTCATTCAGGAAAAATGTGAAACCCAGCACTCAGGAGGCCGAGGCAGGAGGATCACTGTGAGTTTGAGGCTAGCCTGGTCTGCAGAGCAAGTTCCAACAGTCTCCAAAGCTACACAGAGAAACCCTGCCTCCCCCTTCAAAAAAAGAAGCAGCCAGGTATAGTGGAACATGCCTTTAATCCCAGCATTCAGGAGGTAAAGGAAGGAACCTCTGAGGGTTCAAGTCTAGCCTGGTATACATGGTGATTTCTAGGACAGTCAGGGCCATGTAGAGAGATCCTGCCTCAAAAAAAATTGTAGGAATCAAAACTTTAAGAAAAATAATTCTTTCACCAAGTTCCTCAGTAATTTCTCATTTGCTGTTAGTTCAGCATCAACCAAGCTGACATAGGGAATTCCAGGCCAGCCAAGCCTACACAGTGAGACCCTATCTCAAAAATATTTTTTAAAAAATTGAACATATCTTACATAAATAAGGGAACGCATTAGTGCATTAATGCATTAAGAGGTATTCTAAACTAAATGGGGCAAAGCACCAAAATCCCTATCAAGTATTAAAATGTATCTAAGCTCTAAGTAAGGAATAAAGAACAAAAATATAATCACCGAAAAGTTTTAGGTTTGAGGTTCAGAGGGGACCGGGTAGGAGATTCAAACCAAGAGTTATCAGCACCATGAAAAGACAGCACAAGGGAAGGGCTCTGGGACAACTCTGGCCCCTGAAACAGAGCGGGGGTACCTTCTTACAGGGTTTAGGGGAGAGGGAGGTTCCATGCCACATGGTCCATGAGGAATCAGTAGTATGTGGCTTGTATTCAGGTTGAGTCTTATTCCCAAGCAGCACCGTGAAGAAATGTGTGGCTTTGAGGATGTGGGGAATTGGTTTGAGAGGCCCACTTAATGACTAGGCATCCATCATACAGGATGTATCATTGTATTCTCGGATAGACTGGAATCTGGTAGTGTGGGGCCTGTCCACGAATCAGTTATAAGGACAGACACTGCCACAAATGGGCAAGACTTGAGCTACTAGTATGTAGCTTGAGTTGTAACAATTTCAGTTTTTTTATTTATATATAAAGAAACAGCAGGATAATTTACAGGAAGGAGAAGAGATAGAGGGGAAGGCTTTGGGGGGGGCGGGGTACCAGGCATAGTATTTAATTTTTGGCTTCTTTTCATTGGCATCAGCATATATGAATGATGCAATACCTAGAAATTTAACTGGAAGAAAAGCTGGAGCCCTGGCATCCATGTAAAAACCAAGTGTGATCCCTGGAGCTCACTAGCCAATCAACCTAGCCAAACTGGTAAGAGACCTTGTCTCAAAAACCAAAGTAGAGGGCTGGAGAGCTGGTTCAGAAGAACACTGGCTGCTCTTCCTGAGGACCCAGTTTCAATTGCCAGATGCACATGGCAGCTATGGCAGCTCACAACTGTCTATAACTCCAGCTCTAGAGGATCTGATGCGCCTATCCTTTTCTGGCACTTGTACCCATGTGAACATACCCACGCATATGCAGGCACACACAACCACATATAACTAAAAATAATAAAAATAAATCCTAAAAAAAAAAAGGTACAAGAGGCTGGAGATGGCCCGGCAGTCAAGAGTATATACTGCTCTTCCAGAAGACCTAGGTTAAATTTCTAGCACCTACATGGTGACTCACAACCATCAGTGATTCCAGTTCCAGGGGCTCCCATGTCCCCTTCTGGCCTTGACAGGAACTGCATGCATATGGTGCTAGGCTGTATAGACATGCAGGCAAGGAAAACACCCATACACATAAAATACATAAACTTTTTTAAACAATAAATAAAAAAGGGTATAAAATGATTGAGAAAGACTTCTTACATTAATCTATGGCCTCCATATACACACACGTACCCACTCACATGAACACATGTGCATGCATACGTGCGTGCGTGCGTACACACAGACAGACACACACACACACACACACACACACACACATACACACAAAGCAATAAACAGCACAGAACCTGCAACCTGGCCTGAAAATGCCCCCACCAAATTCTGCAGCCAAAGAAACACTGGGCACTGCAGTTTCACATGGTCCTGGAAGGTTCCTGAATCTACAGCCTTGACTCGGGGCTCTCTTGATATCTAACCAAGCTGCAATGTCTCCATCACCACGGTAATCTGCCCTGGATTCAGGGCCTTCAGCCTCAGGTCACAGAAACTTTTCCTCACACCTTGAGAACTGGGACACTGGGTCAATTTTCCCATAAGATGTCCCTAATGACCAGTATAAAGACTTCTCCACACTGGTTAGAGCAGATCAGATTGACCCTCCCCACATAAATGACTAGTCTAAAGTTAACACAGACGTAAAACAGACAACTGAGACTATGTCTTTTGCTCACAATACAACCCAGAATAAAGATGCTAACAATACATCTTCAGAGCCTGTCTCCTAGCAGGAAGATCCCAACAGTCTCTGCTCTCTTGTCACGTTCTACACTCCTCACAAAACTGCCTTCCCATCCTGCTGCTCTCCCAGCTCTCCTCACGCCATCACCATTCTAGTGACAGGTTTTGTTGTTGTTTGTTTGATTTTTTGGCTTTCGAGACAGGGCTTCTCTGTAGCTTTGGAGCTGTCCTGGAACTAACTCTTGTAGACCAGGCTGGCCTTGAACTCACAGAGATCTGCCTGCCTCTGCCTCCCAAGTGCTGGGATTAAAGGCATGCGTCACCACTGCCTGGCTTCTAGCGACAGTTTTAACCCTTCGTTTTAGGTTTATTTGTTTTCATGTCCTAAATCCTAGTGGTTCTAACCCTTTCCCCATCCAGCATATTCTGCCTGAGAAGCATGATCTCCTCTTCAAAGTGCCATAATCCACAAAGTTTATGCTTGCTTGCTGAATCCCAAGGATAATCACCGGACCTCCTCTTAAAGGCAACGGTGCTGGCTCCCTCTCCTGTTAGGGTGCCTGTCAGCTCTCCCTTCTATGACCTGCAGTACACAGCTGCCCTGTCCACACAGTGTTCAGTTATTCTGGGACTTGTGTGCCACCAGCAAGCCAGCAGTAATTCTCCATCACCCGGAGCCTCGGCCGACAAAGTTCAAAGCAAGGAGGCCAAAGATGACTGGTGGGTTTTGTTGCTGGTTTTGGCATTGTTTTATTGTGCTGGGGGTGAAGAGGCAAGAGCTTTATCTCGGAATTACATCCCCACCCCTAATTCTTAGTCTGATTTGGAGGAACCTATGTTTATAAACCTCTCACCAGAGAGTACAGGAAACACAGAAGACAACAGCAAGAAAAAACAACAGGAGAAAGGCCTCACCTCTTCCTCCACTGCAGAGATGGGCCAATGCTTCTGAAGGTCCTGCTGTATCAGAGGAGGGCATAAAAGCAATTTACCAAGGTCCCTCTTCTGAGCTAAGTCTGTGAAACCCTCCAAGGGGGCTCCGGATGAAAACAATAAAGAATTAGAAAAAGAAAACTCTGGCTCCAAAACCATCTCTCCCCCTCCAAACACCCCATCTCACACAGCACCGAGGACAGCTCACTTATAGTGCGTGCCCTAACATTGTCTGAACTCCTCTTAAATACAAACCATGTGAGAATACAAAAGGGTTAAGAGAAAAGTTGTGACCACTGCTGAGTGCCTGGCAACTGCCAGCCATCCAATGTCAGGGCACATGAAGAACATTTCTCAGTCACCTGTACAAAAAATGTTTGCAAGTCGCTGACAATATCTACTTAATATTTACTTAAGGTGTGACTTAAAGTACGTCTACATGACATGGGAAACCCCTGGGATGAAGAGACCCAGAGGCTGGCATTGAGTGATGCCCGAGACACTGCAAAGAGATAAAAGGATGAAGTCACCTAAGAATCCCAAGATCTAAAATCAAGAGCAGAAGAAATGTTCTGTAAAGTCGCTCCTCCTTACAGACATCCCCAGGGTTTCCATGTCGGGCTAATGACAGATGATCAGATATCAGAAATGCCTCCATGAATCTGAGTGTCTTTCCTGATCCCTGCTCCATCCGCAGCACCCAAAGGTCCGCTGCAGAGAAAAAGCTCTGTAGCCATAGCCTGACTGCACACCTCTTTAGTAAAGTCTTCCACACAGCAAGGGGATAGACCATTGTGTACTCAAGTATTTATCCATTATTGGGCACTTAGATTTCCTTGCTAACAACTGTAGGCCCTAAAAATTAAGGACTCTAGACTGGGATATTTGGAAGCACAGTGCTAGCTTAGCCTGCCAGAGAAGTGCAAAGCCTAAGATTGATCCCCAGCACAAAAAAGAAAAAAAAATCCAAACATGTCCATCACATTGGTAAACTATGTGTTGTTTGAGCTCACTGAGAAGCTGGTTTTGGAGGCAGGGTTGATAACCCCCATTTCAGACCCATGTTTGTCTCAAAGTCCAAGGTCTGAATGGGCTGGCTCCCCTAACTGTGTGACAGGAAGGAAGAGAAGAGCAAAACAACCCAGCAGTGAAAGCACTGAGCCTAGGAGAACAGCTAGGTGACCATTTCCAATAAAGGTTCCTGTTGTTTACCTCACATGTAAAAGCGCCTGAACTCTAGCTGACTACCAACTTCCTTGGTCGTTTTTGTTGGGGGTAGCAAGTATCCAATTTGATATTATCTCTCTGTGCTGCTATTTGTTCCTTTACTGAAAGACCTCACCAAAGGAGTTACTCTGTTCCACCAGGGACTCTCTTGACTGGGAGCTCCACCGGGATACCTTAAAGGAGCTTCTTCGGTAGATTTCTGTTGGATATTTTTGAATATCAATGTGATGATTTCTCTCTCTAAACTCACCCGTTTGAAACTGAAAATACGCTCGACATAGATCATTTCCAGAACTATACAAAACATGTTACTATTTTGCAGACAGTCTGACTGTTGGTGAAATTTTAACCTCACAACCTTTATGGGGGGGTCAATTAAAACAAACAACAACTGGAAGTGGCGGCCGTGACTGTAATCTTAGCAGTTGGAGGTGGAAACAGCAGGCTGGGGAGTTCAAGGTCATAGTCCTTCACACAGCCAGCTGGAGGTCAGTACGAACTAGGAGACCCAGTCTCAAAACAACACAAGCCATAAACTTTACACAAGGCATTCTATTGGGAATCCATCCTCAAAACGGCGCGCAAACAAGGTTATTCAACACAACTTATTTGTAATAATTCGAGCTTAGGAAATAGAAAGTATGTCATACTTTCTTGACAGAAAGTATGAGACACCCATACAATGAACTTCCACAAAACGATTCAAAGACCATGCTGCAATGGAAATAGCTGCATTAAAAAAAAAAAAAATCTTTAAAGAGATGAGGGACAGATGAGGCCGATCAGTCGAGCCTTGTGGAAGAGCGCACCTGCCAGGTTCTCATGACCTCAATTGCTTTCAGCTGCCCGCCCCTAAAACACCTCCGACTGCCTATCTGCAGGACCCGGTGGCTTCCCTGCCGTGGCTCACCTCCGGGGCCCCACAGTCTGAGCGCGGCCAAAGCCAGTCGACCGCTCAGCGCCATGATGCTCAGCAGGGAGACGGCGCCTAGAGGGTCAAGTGTCTTCTGAATCCCCGCCCACGTGCTTAGCTAAGCCCCGCCCGACACCCTTATCCCCGCCCCATCGTGCCAAGTCCCGCCCCCCCAGCACCATCATCACCCCGCCTCTGCCGCACACGGCGCCCAGCCCAGCTCCCGGCACGGTAACAGGGTCCGGTGCGGGCAGCTTCCCGTGCTATGGGACTCTGGGAAGCCAAACTCGGAGGCTTCCTCGGTTAACCCTGCGCTCGACCTTCTTGACCGGGAGGGTGATAACTAGTGCTCTCTGAGCGCTGACCGCGGTCAGGAATTTCATCACACCTAGTCCTCGCCAGACTCCATCCCTGTTTGAGGGGACCCACGTCCGAAGGCTTGAGGCCACGTGACCACTCGGTGACCAGCTGTCCCCAGGCAGCTCTACTCTTTAACGCCTCCAGGGGAGGGCCTAGTACGCGGGAGAAGTTTGGTCGATGCGGAGAACGCGGTTACCTTGACGACCGCGACCAGCCCGGACTGGGACGCTCCCGGCATGCCCCGCGCGGCGCGGTGCCGGAAGTGAGCGAGCACTTCCGTCCGCCATCCCTGCCGGTTCAGACTATTTGGTGTTTTCTGTTCTCAGGTCTCTGCAATCATGAAGGATGTGCCGGCCTTCTTACAGCAGAGCCAGAGCTCCGGGCCGGGCCAGGCCGCCATTTGGCACCGGTTGGAGGAGCTGTACACGAAGAAGTGAGCTCTGAGGGTGGACGGGAGGGAGAGGGGGCTGGGAGCGCCTGAAAGGGGCGACAGCCAAAGAAACATCTGTTGCCAGGGTTCTTGAATCTAGACTCCCTGCTTTCCATAAACGTACTGGCTGTGACAGGCTTTGTCTTCTGTATGGTCTTAACTAAAGGGGCTCGAGCTGGCCTGTGAATGCTAGCTCTCAATTCAGACAAGCAAATAGTTTTGAGGCTAAGGTGCCACCCCGTTTGACACACGGGCCCTGGTAATTTGTACTAAACCGCGGTATGATTGTCTACCGCTTGTAATTTCTTCTTGATTCTAGAATCGTTGATTCATCCTCCACTGCCCCTGTTTTGTTTTGTTTTTTTTTTGTTATATTTCCCATTGGCCTTTTGCCAGTGGAGAGATCTTAGTGCTTGCGTTTGATTAGAAACAGGATGAACTTCAGAACAGTTACAAATTGCTGACATTGATCTAGAGCGTTCCATGAAGAAACAGCTTTCCTGGAGAACCTTTCCACACAGACACTCATGTGTTTTGACGCTGTTCAGCAGTTTTCCACTATTAATGTTTTCACGATAAATTTTTCGGTGTTTGGTGGGTAACATGTTGTATGTTTCAAAGCACTTTATGTGCACTGTTAAATATTAGTCTTTAGCCATTGGGTGAAATGTGCTACGTCAGTGTCCTAAAGATGTAGATATTGGCATACTTTGATATTGGCTTATTTCATCCTTCATCTCATCCTTAGATGAGGAGACTCAGGATCAGCTTTCTATTCCTTCATGAGATATTCAGCTAATAAATAAGAGAGCACGGAGTTCAAAATATAGCTGTAGGATTGCAAAGTTCTTTCAGTTGACACTCAAAGTGAGTGCTGACGCAGTCTCAAAAGATGTTCTCCATTGTTACCTAAGAAAACCGAGTCTTGGGCTAAGTGACCAAGGGTAACAGAGTTAAGAAATGTACTTGAATTAATTGGCATATGCTTTAACTACTGTACTGGGCAGTGGGCCCTCAGTAGTGCTTGATGCTTCAAAGCTGAAGGTATCTGTTACTTCCTGTTAGTTTATATATGTGTCTGAAGCACTTTTTGTTTTTTAGGTTGTGGCATCAGCTCACACTTCAGGTGCTTGATTTTGTCCAGGACCCGTGCTTTGCCCAAGGAGATGGTCTCATTAAGGTAATGACTTGCCATACTAGGTCAGATTATGTTGGGTATACTCAAAGACTTTTTTAAAAAAAAAATTTATTGTGTGTGTATCAGAGAGAGAGAAAGAAAGAGAGAGAGCGCGCGCAATATGTGTGTAGATGCCCAAGGAGGCTAGAACTGAAAATGCTCTTAACTATCTCTGGGCTATCTCTCCAGTGCCTGTTCATTACTTTCTGTTTATTTGTTTGTTTGTTTGTTTGTTTGTTTGAGATAGGCTCTGACCGACCAGGAACTTGCTGTGTAGACCAGGCTGGAATCAAATTCACAGTCAACCTCCTTGGCCTTCCAGGTGCTGGCATTAAAAAGCATGTGCTATCATGCCTGGCTCTACTCCTGAACTTTTAAAGAAAAAGGATGGCCTTTGTGATGGTCACAGAAAGCTGCATCTTTTCAGCAATCACTTTGTGCCACGGACTCTTATAAGCACTATGCCCTCTGTGACAACACTGGGACAGTATTTTATCACTGTCTCTTCTTAATGTAATAGCAGACATAGATGAATCACCATAGGTCATGGCTAATAAATCACTGCATTGAAACAGACTTTCTGGTTTCTAAAAATGTTGACTAGAGCTGGAAACATGGCTCAATGGGAGTATGTGTTTAATAATATCCACAAGGCCTCTGACCTTACAGAACACTACCAACAAACAAACAAGGCTCTCTGAGCCTCACATAACACCACCACCAAACAAACAAACAAGCAAAATGAACCTGCACGGTGGCATACCTGTAATCCCAACACTTTGAAACTTGAGGCTGGAAGATCAGTTGTTCGAGACTAGCCTGGCTTACACAGAAAGATTAGTAAGGAGAGGGACCATTTAAAGAGCTCCCCTCACTTCCCAGTTCTTCCAGCCCATCCATGCACACTGGTTCCACTTGCCCAGAGATTTCTGTCCTGGGTAGTATAGAAAAGAGAATGTCTGCAGTTGAAGGTGAGAGAGCTGGAGGGGGCCTGCATGATATGCTGTCTCTGTAATAGCGCAGTTTTCGAGTTTTATCCGCAGAAAACATAGAAATGCACACTCTGCCCATGCCTCACAGATGTGCTGTCAGATACCCCTGGATTTCCTCAGCAGAAGCCTCTTTTCTCAACTCTTTCCCATGCCTCACAGATGCGCTGTCAGATACCCCTGGATTTCCTCAGCAGAAGCCTCTTTTCTCAACTCTGTCCTGCCGTTGTCTGATTTTGAAAGGGGAAGTTAGCTTGGACTCGTAGCTTGAGTTCTTACTCCTGGATACATTATATTGTGCATAATGAAGCTTACCGCTCACTACCTCTTCTCCTGGGGCTTAAGATCTTCTTGGGATTTTTATTTATCAGTTTGACATTTTATCACCCTTAAGAATTTGCAGTCACTTGTAAGCCTAAAGATTTTGCTGGGTGTTCTGTCTCTCAGATCATGTGGGAAAATGATAAATCAGACACGTTGCATATTCTATATCATAGTGGTGCATATTTATCCTTTTCTAGTCTTCAACTGATATACCCCTCCCCCTTGTTTTTTTTTTTTTTTTGAGGAGGTTTTTATGTATAAGAATGTTTCGCCTTTGTGTGTATGAGTACTGTGGGCATGGTTGGTGCTCTCAGAGGTTAGAGGAGGACGTCCGATCCCCTGGAATAGGTGTTAGGTATGGTTATAAACCATCACGTGGGTGGTGAGACCTGAACCCAGGTTCTCTGCAACAGCAGCAAGTGCTCTTAACCACCAAGCCACTTCTCCCATCCTTTTCTGTGTTTCTTAAACTAAGAATGTTACCGTTGGCTTGTTCTGTCTTCTCCAGTAGTTCAAGACCATCCTGAACCTCAGCATTTGCCTCTCATGGTGTGTCTGTAGTACTGGCTTAGTGTCTGAGGAGGTGCTTGTGTCTGCTGAGTGGCTAAGAAATGGTAACACAGGCCTATCGAAGACCTAGAACCTTCTGAAATCTGAAGGAACTCTATTCTGTTTGATTAGGAACGCTTCACCCTGGTGCAGCTATTGTACTGAGCACCTTGGAAGAACAATTTAGGATTTGATATTTAGGAGATTTTTTTTAAAAGATTTATTTATGTAAATGAGTGCTTTATCTTTCCAGAGAAAGGCATCAGATCCCACTATAGGTGGTTGTGAGCTACCATGTGATTGCTGGGAATTGAACTTAGGACCTCTGGATGAGCCCCAGTGCTCTTAACCGCTAAGCCATCTCTCCAACCCCTGATTTATTTTATTTTATTGTTTGTTTTTTTTTTTAAAGCAAACTCTCTTTGTAGCTCTGGGTGACCTGGAACTAGCTCTGTAGACCAGGATCACAAAGATCCGCCTGCCTCTGCCTCCCAAGTACTAGGATTAATGTCTTGCACCACCATCACCTACCTGGCTGTTTAGGAGACTCTTATAGACCAGTGTCATGAGTCTCAAAGCTAGGAGCTCTGGTTTTCTTCAGTAGTCTATTGGTGATCATTTATGCGACTCAAATAAGCCCTGAGATGGTTGGTTCTCCTATCATTCAGCAGAGGCTTAGGCAGTGCTTTCTATGTGACGTGCATTGTGGTTTGCACACTTGCACCTGACAGTCTCGGTGCTGCAGCTCTGACCAGGAGTAGTTTTCAGAGTCTGGTTTCACAGAGTGAAGCTTTCTCTGTACTAATTCTCCATCTTTGGTTTGCAGCTTTACGAAAACTTCATCAGTGAATTTGAACACAGGTAATCCCCTTTTGTTAGTTTTCTACTTTGAAAATAAATACATTAGTGGTTTTAACACTCAAAAACTGGTGATTTTTATTTCAGGGTAAACCCTTTGTCCCTGGTAGAAATAATTCTTCATGTGGTTAGACAGATGACCGGTAAGCCTCTGTTTGTTTCATAATAGAGAATACCAAATTGGCCAGGGTTAGTGATGCCCACTGAGGTGCCAGTACTGACCGAGCAGTGATGACAGCCTGAGTCACATAGTCCCAGGCTAGCATCAGTGCACTTGAGAGAGAAATGTCACTGTTTTCTTGCCTAAAGATGTCTTAGGTGGTAAAAAGCTGCTGTTGGTAGGTCTGACTTTGTTCATGTTTCTATTCTAGATCCTAATGTGGCTCTTACTTTCCTGGAAAAGACTCGTGAGAAGGTAAATATGAAGTTTGAAAGGCATTTTCTGATGTATATGTGATTCGTAATGTATGTCTACTCATGTAGAAGTCACATTCCTGGTTTCAAGTCAATGCCCAAGGAACAACTCGCTTTACAGTTTCTGATGTTCCCTTTTTCTTTACTTTCTTTTTTTTTAAATCTCTTCAGGTTAAAAGTAGTGATGAAGCAGTGATCTTGTGTAAAACAGCTATCGGGGCTCTGAAACTAAACATCGGGGATCTCCAGGCTACGAAGGTGAGAGCACAATAATTCGTACCTTCTCATGTTCTGACCTAGATTTCCCCGTTGTTTACTCTTTGCCACCTGATTGTTTTGTTTGTTTGGTTTTGCTTTTGTTTTGTTCTGTTTTGTTTTCCCATTTAAGGTTAAGTTGCTGTGAAGACGTTTACTCCCTGTGGCTGTCCATCTAGTCAGGACTCCTCGTGGTCTCAGTTGTGTAAAGCCTGTGGGCTCTCATCATGGCAGGCGATATGTTTCCCTGTTCTCTTTCTTCCTCTTGTGTTGTTGAAGTTTCCTGTCTGTATTTATGCCTTTAAAAAAGAGAGATTTAGCCAAATGGTAGTGGTAGGGGCACACACCTTTAATCCCAGCATTCAGGAGGCAGAGGCGGATGGATCTCTGAGTTCAAGGCCAGCCTGGTCTACAAGAGCTAGTTCCAGGACAGGCTCCAAAGCTACAGAGAAACCCTGTCTCAAAAAAGCCAGGAGGAAAAAAGAGAGAGAGAGAGAGATTTGTTTTTATCTTATGTGTGTCTGTGCATCACGTGCATGCAGTGCCAGTGGAGGCCTGAAGGAGGGCATTGCATCCTCTAGAACTGGAATTATAGCTGCCATGTGGGTACCAGGAACTGAAGCTGGGTCCACTGCAAGAGCAGCAAGTACTCTTAATGGCTGTACCATCTCTTTGATCCCGTTTGTGCTGTTTTTCGTTTTTGTCCAGTTTGTGAGACAGGCATGAATAGAGGTGGCAGTGAGCCTAACATAACTAACATGGTGGTTGTGCGTGTTTATCCACAGACGCCAGTGCAAAAACAAGTTTTGCCTTCATTTTGGTAACCATAATGTTAACAAAAATAGTGGAAGTAGTGGTTGAAAGTGTTTGTTTTCATTGGCCTAAAAAGTCCTCTCTTGTTGCTTCCTCGTCCCAATCACATGCATCCTAACTACATTTGCTTGAGGAATTTAAGACACATCAAAAGCTATGACACAATGAGGAGTGCTGTCTGGGCGTTCTGGGATGTCAGCCAGTCCCCCAGCAGGCCCATCTCACCCGTGTGCACCAGTTACTGTTCTTGTTGCTATGACCACATAACTGACAAGAAGAAACTTATGGGATGGAAGTTTATGCAGGGAAGACTTGGCTGCAGGACCAAGAAGTGATTGGTTATGTTGGTCTGCAGTCAAGAAACAGAGAAAAGCTGATGCTTAGCAATTTCTTCATTTTTTTTTTTTTTAGTCCAAGACTGCTGCTCTTGGAATGGTGCCAACATTTAGGGTGGGTCTTCCTGCCTCATTTACCCCAATCTAGAAAGTCCCTCACAGACATGCTTAGAGGTTGTCTTCTGGGTGATTCTAGATCCTCTCAAGTGGATAAATTAACTGGAGATACATATAAATATCTTGGTCTTCCCTAGCCCGGTTCGTAAGTTGGTATGTGTAGGCCGTTCATTTTTACCCCGGGTGCTATCCCATTGTATACGTGTTTTATAGCTTATGTAGCTATTCTCCTGTAAAGGAACTTGAGCTGTTTATTGCATTACAAGTGCTGTTCATGTTAGCATTTCTTACTTGGTCTCCCTGTGCTTGGCCAGTCCCCTGGGTGTGTGTCTGAAGGTGGTAGTGTGAGGTGTTTTACTAAACCTTGCAGGCCCCTCTGAAGCTCCCTGTTTCCGGCTTTTGATATTTTCACGCTATTTACTTCTTCATGACCCAGTGGAAGTCAGGTGGTTTAATTTTGCATTTCTCAGCTGCTGGTGGTTTGCAGCAACCCCACTCCCACCTCTGCTTCTCTTAATTGCCTGTTGCTGTCTTTGCTGCTTGTCTACTGCGTCCTTCACATTTTCTTGCTCGTTACCTCATAGGATGTGGAGTTACACAGCCTATAAATGTCTTCTGCCAGTCTATAGCTTGCCTTTGTATTTTATTCTATGTTTTGGATGAACCCAAGTTTTCATTTTTGTAGTCAGTCTAACTAATGTTATCAGTCTTTGTGTCACTTTAAAGATCTTTTAAGCTGAAAGGCGATTTTACTTCTTGTGTGTAGGAAACCATTGAAGATGTTGAAGAGATGCTCAACAATCTCCCTGGGGTGACATCAGTTCACAGTCGTTTCTATGACCTCTCCAGTAAATACTATCAAACAATCGGAAACCATGCGTCCTACTATAAAGATGCTCTACGGTTTCTGGGCTGTGTCGACATCAAGGATCTGCCAGGTACACTGGGCCCTCACACTTCTCAGCACTCAGAGATCCATGGCTGAGCATAGCAGCTGTGAGGTGCTGAAGAGGGCTTAGCTCTGTCAGGGGCACATCACTTTTAAAGCGGAAAGCTTTGTGTACATTCTCAGTTTTACATCTTATGTTCTCTGGTGTTGATTCAAATCCATGCAAGCCCATCTTTCTCAGTCTCTTCACTCTTCTGTAGGTCCGTCTTAGAAGCTGAGTCAGATCCTATAGGTATTGTAGTGGTGTGCCTCTCCAACCCTCTACAGTTAGTTAGACTGACTATAAAAATGAAAACTTGGGTTCATCCAAAATATAGAATAAAATACAAAGGCAAGCTGTAGACTGGCAGAAGACATTTATAGGCTGTGTAACTCCACATCCTATGAGGTAACGAGCAAGAAAATGTGAAGGACACAGTAGACAAGCAGCAAAGACAGCAACAGGCAATTAAGAGAAGCAGAGGTGGGAGTGGGGTTGCTGCAAACCACCAGCAGCTGAGAAATATGATTCCATATCCCTACAGCTGAGACCTTTGCTCTAAAAGGAGTATTTCATACTGTGGAAATAAATTACAGAGTCTTTTGGGAATCTGAAAATGGAAGGAAAAGTAACCAGAGAATTTTGGTGAAAATAAAAGGAGAGTAAGTTTGGAAGAAATTTTCAACATTTTTTTCTTTCTTTTTTTTTTTTTTTTGGATTTTCGAGACAGGGTTTCTCTGTAGTTTTTTGGTTTTTTGGTTCCTGTCCTGGAACTAGCTCTTGTAGACCAGGCTCAACATTTTCTTGAATGTGCTGTTGGTGGTAAGGAGACTGGCCACTCCTGAAAATGCTGATAAAGCTTTGATTGCTATCTCTAAGCAGAAATATATTAGAAAAGCAACTACTTTAGCCAAGAGACAAGAAAGCAGTCTATTATTCCATCTAAAGAGCTTCAGACTGTTATAACATGAGCCAGCTGTAAGGGTAAAGACTCTTACTAACCCAGTAAGTACTACAAACTGAACGGTACGGTAGATAGATCGCATATCTCTATGGAATAAATTTTAAATAAGTGGTATTTCCACAAAGTTCATGTCTCCATGGTTCTAGTATAACCTGAATTCTAGCACTTTTGAAGAGGTAGCTTATACTGAGGTGTGGTACTAGACCCATTCTGATAATGGTTTCTGTACTTTGTTACATGAGTTTTATAAGGCCAAACAGGACTGGGATGTGACTGACTGTGTCATTTTGTAGTGTCAGAACAACAGGAGAGAGCCTTCACGTTGGGGCTTGCTGGACTTCTTGGAGAGGGAGTTTTTAACTTCGGAGAGCTTGTAAGTTGGCCTAGCACAGATTCCTTAACAGTGTGGGGAAAAGAAAGTCTGACTTTGTGCCAGCTTACTGTCTCTGTCCCCACAGCTCATGCACCCTGTGCTGGAGTCACTGAGGAACACTGACCGGCAGTGGCTAATTGACACTCTGTATGCTTTCAACAGTGGTGATGTAGATAGGTTCCAGACCCTGAAGTCTGCCTGGGGCCAGCAGGTAGGTTTCATATGCCCCTGTGTTTCCTTCCAACAAGGATTCCGTAAGCCTCTACTCTACACTCACCAGATACCCGGGAGGATCTAGGCATAGACAGGACATGGGCAGGCCAGGCTTAATCTTCCAGAAACAAGGCATTAAGAGGTCTGGGTCACCCATGAGAGGCACAATGTGCTCCTCTGTCTGTGCTGGGTAAGGTGCATTATAGGCCTCCTAAGGGAAATGGTGTCTGTGTGATCTTGAATGAGTGAAGAGATTCAGGGGAACAGAGGGAAAGACAACTCAGCAGTTGTTGAAGTGAAAAGTGTGTGTGGCCAGCATGAGCAGGCAGTCCCCAGGGACACAGTGTAGCAAGGAGAACAGAGCAGGAACAGACACTGAATAAAAAAGCCAAGATCAGTAGTAATTAGCCAAAGGTGCTTAACAGTAAGTCAAACTTGTTTTATTTTGTTTATTTTGATTTTGTTTTTGTTTTTTTGAGACAGAGTTTCTCTGTAGCCCTGGCTGTCCTGGAACTAGCTCTTGTAGACCAGGCTGGCCTTGAACTAAGAGATCCGCCTGCCTCTGCCTCCTGAGTGTTGGGATTAAAGGCGTTCTTAATCATGTATGTGTGATTGTGTGCATTCATATGTGTTCATATATGTTCACATATTTGTGTAAATGCATGTGGGACACAAAGTTGATATCAGGAGTCTTTCTCAGCCATGTTCCACCTTATTCACTTAAGATGAGGTGTGGCTAGAATTTTCTTTGGGCTGCCAAGTAAAGACATGGAAACATATTATTAATTATGAATGCTTGACCTTAGCTTAAGCTTGTCCCACTATCTCTTTTAAAATAATTTAACCTGTTTCTATTCATCTACACTTTGCCTCAAGGCTTTTTACCTTTCTTTCATTCCATGTGTCCTACTTTTCCTTCTTCTTCTTTGTCTGGCTAGCTGGTCCCTGGTCTGTCTGTCTGTCTTTTTTTCTTCTTCTTCTGAGCCTAAATTTCTCTTCCTGTTGATTCTCCCTGCCAGGAAGTCCCACCTATATTTCATCCCTCACTATTGGCCATTCAGCTTTTTATTAAACCAATCAGGTGCCGTAGGCAGGCAAGGTGAAACAGCAACATATCTTTCCATAGTTAGACAAATACATCACATCTTTCCATAGTTAGACAAATACATCACATCTTTCCATAGTTAGACAAATACATCACATCTTTCCATAGTTAGACAAATACATCACATCTTTCCATAGTTAGACAAATACATCACATCTTTCCATAGTTAGACAAATACAACACATCTTTCCATAGTTAGACAAATACATCACATCTTTCCATAGTTAGACAAATACATCACATCTTTCCATAGTTAGACAAATACATCACATCTTTCCATAGTTAGACAAATACAACACATCTTTCCATAGTTAGACAAATACATCACATCTTTACATAGTTAGACAAATAGTCCACACTTGAGTCTACCACTTGAGCCAGAACTTGCCTATATGGCTAGTCTTGCTAACCAGTTTCTTCTGAAGATCCCCTGTCTCTGCCTATTCAGGTTAGAGTTCCAGGTGAGCAGCCATGCCACCTGGTGGCCCACCTGGCATTACTTGAGTTCTGAATATCTAAAGTCCAATCCTCTTGTTCACATGGCAGACACTCTATTCTCTGAGCCTTCTCTCTCAGCCTGGCCACGTCTCTCTTTTAAAATGAAATTACTAAAAGTAAATATTTCTAAAATATCAAGTGTGGTAGGAACTAGTTATGTTGTTCTTGTACTTTCCTGAAACTTTGGGCTTTCTTAATAATTCAGTAAAAAACTTGTAAAATGTATGTGTACTAGAGGAGGGTGGGTAGGAGTGAAGGGACTGAGAAGACAGAAAGCACTGGGTCCAGCGAGACTTGGCTGCAGTGGGTTCACATGTCAGCAAAATGAGCCACCTACAAAGGAAGGTGGAGCCAGCTACTGTGGTTCATGCCTAGAGTCCGCTGAGGTCAGAGGGTCACTTGAGACTAGGAGTCAGAGACCAGCCAAGACAGACAGACTGGCTTGCTGTGGCAATGTACAAGAAGAAAAAAGATTCAGGGGGATGTCTACATAAATATCCCTGCTGGGACTTTCCTTGGCAGAGTATGACCTGTTTTTGTTTTTTATTCTGAGACACTGTCTCTCCATATTGTTCTGGTTTGTCTTAAACTCCTAGGATCAAGTAATCCTCCTGCCTCAGCTCTAAAGTGCTGGAACCACAGGTATGCCAGCTGCAGCCTTGCTAAAGAATGTGTTCTAGTTCTCACTAGTAAGATTTTCTATTGTGAATTAACCACTGGCTCTTTTGACTCAGCACAGGCCACTAGTTCTTAAGTACTTTCAGCAGACCGTGTTTGCTGACCAACATGCAGTACCACCCAGAACCTTTCAAGACACAAGACCTGTTGTTTGCTGGAGGTGCCTCCACCAAGAGTCTTGAGGTTCCTGTTCATGGTGTTTGTAACATCAGTGTAAATCCTGTTTCGTACATTTCTGAGTACATGCCCGTGAGTCAGTTTCTTCTTCAGATTCTCTGAGACAAAGGGATTTAGTATCACTAGTGAGCCTCAACTACCCACAGTGTAAAATATTTTCTTTTGTTTGACCCATAGTAGAGTTTCAGAACCCATGTTTCTCTCTTTCTGTATTTCCCAGCCTGACTTAGCAGCCAACGAGGCCCAGCTTCTGAGGAAGATCCAGTTGTTGTGCCTTATGGAGGTAAGAAGCACCCAGGGATCCCTGTCCGTAGTACTTGACAGGGCTCAGGAGCTCGCTAGGCCTGTGAGCTGGCCTGCCTCTCCTAAGTAGTTTTCTTCTCGTGGCTTCGCTCTTAACTTGTGTCCTCCTTCTTGCCACTACTCATTCACTTCTCTCCTGAGTGTCAAACTGTGGGTTTTCAGGCTTGACAGCAAGCGCCTTTACCCCCTGGATCATCTCCTTGGCCTGTGAGTTTGTCTTAGACAGGCTCCATTAGACAGCACTTCATAAGTTATCCCTGCCCATTGAACCTGAACTGTCTCTGTGACACACCCTTTCTATCCATGTACTTTTCTGTTTTCTCTGTTAGAATGTGAGCTTCTGGAAGGATTGCAGTGTGCATTTCCAGTTTCCTGAAGTGGTCCCTGTACAAGGGACTTGGTGGCCTCGACTACCTGGTCAAGGAATGCACATTTGTTCTTGTCAAACATTCCTTTACAGTTTGCTTTTTCCTTTAACTGTCTCTGAGCATTTACAACTTGTTTGTAGTAGACGCTAGGTTAGGAAACTTGAGTACTTGCGTATGAGGCTAATAAGACGATCTGTATTTTCAGATCTTTTTTTTCCTTAAGTCCAGGCTCTCACTATGTTACCCTGACCCCACCTGGAATTTGCTATGTAGACCAGACTGATCTCAGCTTAACAGAGATCTACATATCTCTGCCTTCTGAGTGCTGTGATTAAAGGCATATACAACCATGCCCACAGAACAACTTTCAACTTTTGACCAAAAAAATCTTTAAAAACAATCTCTGACCACTTTTGCTTAGAAGAATGGTTCTGTTTTTCAGATGACTTTCACACGACCTGCCAACCACAGACAACTCACTTTTGAAGAAATTGCCAAAAGTGCCAAAATCACTGTGAACAAGGTATAGTTCTTGGACTTGGGGTATCAGCAGCAGAGCTGCCCAAGACAGAAGTCTGACCTTGGCGAGGACTGTGCTCCCAGCGTGTCTCATGTAAGCCCCTTTGCTCAGGTGGAGTTGCTGGTGATGAAGGCGCTCTCAGTGGGGCTGGTGAGAGGCAGCATAGACGAGGTGGACAAGCGGGTTCATATGACCTGGGTGCAGCCCCGCGTGCTGGACTTGCAGCAGGTAAGGGACTGAGCTCCTGCTCACCTTTATGGACTTGGGTTATCCAGTGCTGTCTTAGTTTTATGTGAACAGAAGCCATTTAGGAAGAAGACACAAGGTAGTGCAGATGGGATTACTGCTGCAGAGACCCAGGTCATGCACACCCGGGGTCTGAACCCAGCATTTAGAGGCTTACTCTGACAACAGTGCTAACTGTGCCCGTGAGGCCTTCTAATCCCAAAATTGGTACTCTGATCAGACGTGTTCCTGGTTTGTGAGTTAATCCCATATCCTTACTCATATTTTCTGGATATTTGATCCTGTGATTTCCTCCATTCCTTTCCTTTCATGTGAGTTTTTAGAGCGTCCTTGTGATAAGAATTGGCACAGTGACCTATCACACACCTCCCCCTTCAGCTCTATTGTCCTTAGTGTTACCCTGAGAAAGAACTAGGGATTTAGCACTACCACATAGGGCCTGTGCTCCCTTCTAGCCTGACACCCATGTGATCTGGTTTGTCTTTAGATCAAGGGGATGAAGGACCGCCTGGAGCTGTGGTGCACTGACGTGAAGAGCATGGAGATGCTGGTGGAACACCAGGCTCAAGACATCCTCACGTAGTGACCCAGTGTCCCACAGACCCTGCCTCACCTTGCAAGGCATTTCTGTGGCCCCTGAAACCATCAGCAGAGATCTGTATTGGATTGGCATGGAGTTTGGGATCCTGCTAGGAGTCGGAACTGTTCTTGCTATTAAAACAGATATCTTTCATTGATGGGGTTTGTTTACTTGGAGAAGGCTCCTGTGTGGGGTGTTTTGTAACCTGCAAGGGGTGGGAGGGGGACCCCAGGCCTAGATGATGAGGAAGGGAAGGAATGGGAATGGGGACAGAGTAGTCTCCACCCAAATCCACTTGAGTGGTCCTTTTCCAGCGTGGTCTGAGAATGCTCCTATAATAAATGCCTTTGCTTTGTTCTGCTGATGCTTCTGGTTTTGGACTTCGCTTCTTGGGCAGTCCTGTGCCTGAAGAAGCCAGCGGGTTGATAAGGATTAGCCTCACTCCTCCCCTGCAATGCACAAGGAGGTTGTCATCAAGGAAGTGTGTGTGTGTGTGTGTGTGTGTGTGTGTGTGTGTGTGCGTGCGTGCGTGTGTTGTCAAACAGGGGAGGCATTCGATCCGTTTCGCAGCCCTCTTTAGGGCTTTCTCAGACACAGGCTTCCACACTCACCACCTGGCATCACCGGGACACTGGACAGTCTAAGTAGCAAGCACAATCAAGCAGTAGGTAGATAGAAGAGTTTAATCTTTCAGGGCTCTGCCGCTTCATGCTGTGGAGCTTTTCTTATAGCTCTCCAAGTGAGATAAGACCCATCCTGCAGGAACCAAGAGGCCGACGAATATGACCGTGATCCCCACAGCCTGCTCCTGTGGAAAGATAAACATGAATCCATAGACCATGCCTGGCCACTGGGCAGGGAAACTTCCCTGTCCTTGGAGCCCTGCAGTGTGGGCCTTCTGCCTCAGCTAGAAGCCTCCCCATGGCTAGAGATCACTGCCATTGCTTTCCCTCTCTCTCAGTTGGCCAGCCATAGTCCCCATTTGCCTTCTGCGTCTCTCAGCAGTGCTGTGAGCGAGCAGGCTCTGCTGCGTCAGTGAGTTTGGCAGCCTTGAGTCCTTGCAGGGGAGAATGACCTCAGACACGGGGAGAAACAGCCTTGGGCCCAAAAGCCCAAGGTACTGCACAGCTACAGCAGCTGCCAGCAAGGCAAAGGTTCGCTCGGCCCCCTGATCACAGCCGAATGTTCCAGGGTGCTGTGCAGAATAGTAGAACAATTAAGGTTCCCGTTGTTATAAACAAGCACAGGGCTTTTCCTGAAAGCAGTTCCATTCAGAAGCAAACTGGGTGATGTCAGATACCTGCCCCACATGGGTGTCCAATGTGTGCAGCAGTGACCCCATTAGGGAGCCCTGTGTTCTCAGTAGCTTTACTTCGCAACTCAGGCATGAACGGCATGGCACTGAGTTTCCCTGCCAAACAAGGCTGGGGCTCTGAATTTAAGCAAATCTGGCATAGAATAGGAATCTTAGTTTGGACCATGTCATAGCTGTATGCTTGTAACCACATGGCCTGGTTCTTGGATTAATTCATACTCAGACCGACACACTTCATATGTGGGACTCCATTGGGCATGCTGCCGACTAGTTTCACCCTCAGAACACCCCACCTTTTCCTGTAACAGTGGAGTACACACCCCGATCCAAGCCCTGCACCCACTTCAATTCTGTGCCCCCTAGTTCTGTCACTGTTGACCTTGGCCAAAGGTATGTGAGGCCTGAGGAAAGTCCCCACCCCGCCAATTTGTAGCCCTTTGAGAGCCTGGCCACAAGCAGTGGTGCCAGAACCCCTCCTGGCATTCAGACCCTGATATCTAGTGCCACAGCCACCCCTCCATTATCACCTCAATCTTCCCTGTCGCCCCGAAACCCGGGAAATGCTACCTTAGAAGTTACTCACCATAGCAGAAGTGGGGGCTTTGGCTACTTTGGCAGAGATATGGGCTTTGGGAACCACTGTAGACTTCACAGAAGCTTGGAGCAGCTTCAGGACAGAGGGGAGCCTTGGCATGATTCTCAGGTTGCGCTCCTTCCTTGGCCCCAAAGAGGTACCCTGGGTGTCCGCTGCACGTCCTCTGCTCACTTTGACCGTTAGGGCTTTTTATAGCTGGGCTGGGCAACTGCAGCTGTCTCTTGTCACAAGACTTGGCAGAGAGGATGCCTGTCAGTAGCTGGGCGAGAACCATCCTGCTCTGTGAACCTGCTAGGAGCCCCTCAAAATGTAGGGATATGGCATGGGCCCTTGTGAACAAGACTAACTTCTTTGCAGAAAAAGACCTTAATGGGATAGGCCCAGGAATTAAAATGCAAGAGGTGTGGCATACTTTAAAATAAACCTTAAATCTCGGGGTATCAGCCAGGCATGGTAGTGCACGCCTTTAATCCCAGAACTTGGGAGGCAGAGGCAGGTGGATCTCCAAGTTCGAGGTCAGCCTGGTCCACAGAGCAGGACACCCAGTGCTACACAGAGAAATCCTGTCTCAAAACAAGGCAGCAAGCCGGGCAGTGGTGGCGCATGCCTTTAATCCCAGCACTTGGGAGGCAGAGGTAGGCGGATCTCTGTGAGTTCGAGACCAGCCTGGTCTACAAGAGCTAGTTCCAGGACAGGCTCCAAAACCACAGAGAAACCCTGTCTCGAAAAACCAAAAAAAAAAAAAAAAAAAAAAAACAAGGCAGCAACAAAAGATTTTGGGGTATCAGCCGAACAGTAACATACAGAACCTGTGTTGAAGTTCTGTGACATGTTCCTGGGTGAGCCACTGGCCTTGCTATTCTCACGTGGTACACTGAACCAGCGGCCCTATTGTCCTGAGTCTATTCACTGGAGGTTGAGGCACCGCGGGGGAGTTTCTTCAGGGAGCCATATACCTCCACATGGTAAATGGCCTCACAGTCATGCTGCAAAGGAGCAAAAGTGGAACAAAGAGCAGGCACCTGCTGCGTGCCAACTGTGGGCAGGAGCCTCGACTGTCTCCAGGCGGAGGAAGGGCAAGTCCCTCCTCTTACCCCACTTGACTTCTGCCAAATGCAAATGGCCCTTTTCCAGCATTGTCTCAGCCTTGCTGGGCTTGGTTGCTGGCTTCCCTCCCATCTCATTTAGTCTCTTCCTGACCTCCGGCTAACCCCAAGCTCTTCAGTCTCCATCTGATCTGTTCAGACCTCTAGCCCTGGACCAGTCTGCCGCAGCACTGCCAGCTTCTCAGTCATGATCTGGAATGGCTCTCCCCACCTCAGGGCCAAGTTCCGTGGCCCTCAAATGTTTTTCCCCAACAGCAGCCTCTTTCGTCTGGAGTTCACACTCCGCTTCCAGCCTCCCCTCCCCGTGTAGCACCACATCCCCAAGAGATCAGCTCCCCATCTTCCCACAGTCTACCTTCAACCATCTCTACTTTGACCTCTGTACATTATCTCAGACAATTCTTGTAAAGCGGTCGTCATTACTGCCTGTGCGCTACATTCTGCTCCGGGCTCAATGCACTCCCTCCTCCACAGCCCCCCCAGGCCCGAGTGATGTACACAACACCGCCAACACACACCAGCGTCTTTCACGGGATCCTCTTTCCCTCCTGCTCTCACATATCTGTTCAGGTCACAAGGTCGTTCACATGGCATCCTAGGTGTATCTTGCTCCACTGTGTGTTCCTCTGACTGAAGTAGAAGTATCCTGAGGATAAGGACTCAGAGCCTAGAGCAGTTTCCGGCTTGGCAGATTTGTTCAGCCAGTGTCAGGCAACGGGGATGGATGGGTGAGTGATGGGTAGTCAGCTGGGCAAGGAGATGTAAGGATGGAAGATGTGTCTGTGACGTGCCAGGCACAAGCTAGATTGGGGATGCAAAGCTGAGTCATCTTCAGGGAAAATGTCCCATTATCAGAAGGTACAGGATATTGTCACAGCTGAGCAAGGCCACAGCTCAGTGTTTGTTCCTTGGTTGCTTTCAGACAATATTGGTGTGAGCCCAAGCCCGAGATGGGACACATGGTCACTGAGTATTCAGTGACTCTGCTGCACCAGGAACTTACTTTTTATTCTTTTCCTGGAAACCACATTTGCTGTGTACTTGGGACTCCTCCATAATCTCCACCTGTAGGCCCAGTCTAGTCCTCAGCAAGGAGCCAAGTCCTAGGAGGTCAGAGGGAGGGCTTAGGTGGGGAGGTGTTCTGAATATTACTCTCACCGGCACTGGGCTCCAGATTCCAGCCTCAGGCTGGGGGTGGGGAGTGGGGGGTTTCTCCCCTCCTCTGGAGTAATCCCTTCCGCCTAAACCTTTAATTATAGCCTTGGGGTCCAGTCTTGGATAAGGTAGTGAACCTGGGCACTTTATTCTGAGGCTCACTCTCTCGGTGATATTTCTTCTTCTTTTACAAATAAGACCTGTCCCTAACCTGTCATGGGCCAGCTTCTGGCAGAGGTCCCCATCTCTGCTACTGGCGCCTGGACCATTTTCTGGCTGGCCTTTGGCAGGACCGTCCTCAGCTCTCAAGACTGCATTAGACCTGCCTCATACCACCCTTCTCAGAGTGACTCCAAGTTCTGTTAGCAAAGTCGAGACAACTGAATCTCTCCTGGTTTAGATCTGTCTGATATTTTATTTTTTACAGAGAAGTTGTGACGCTAGGGCAGAGTGTTTCCATGTGACCCACCTCTTCCCTATTTACTAACACAGCAGTAGGTGTATGGTCCAGGCCTTGATGCCCAATACTATAAAAGCACCTCAAACAGGACATGAGGTAGAGAGGCCTACCACCCACCACAGCTTCAGGCTTCCCAGAATCTCTTAGCCTCACTGACGCCTCAGGGAGGGCAGGGTTGGAGGAGGTGGGCAATGCAAGGAGTTACAATCAAGAGAGTCCGCCCCCCCTCCTAGAACCCAGGGGCCACACCAGCTATAGCCCTCCACTCCCTTCCCACACTTCCCTAGTCTTTGTGACCTTCCAGAACTTTCCAGGCACAATCCAACCCTCTTTATTCCTCCACTGAAGTAGTCTCTATCCTGCTACTCCCATAGGGAAGTGCTTATCCCTCCTTCCTGGTCTACCTTTTACTTAACAGTGTTACCAGGAGAAGGGGAAGACAGCCGAGTGCAGTATAGGATAGAGATGAAGGCTCGGTAGAGCTGCCAAGAAAACAGGCGTTGAGAAGTCTCAGTACAGGCCAGCC